GAGACAAGGGTGGGGAGAAATAAGAATGCATTTTTTTGCCAATCTGAAATACTAATTTATTTTCCAAGAATACCGCCTCAAGAGAGTTCAGTGTCAGGAGTGAAACTAAAAGTGAGTTAAACATTTTGGTAACTATAAGAAAACTGCTATACTACTCAGGGTTATCAACAGGAGCAAGGTGTCTTTAGTTTCAGAATCTACAGTCTACATGAAAGAGACTCAGGCAGGAGGACGTGTTGGAAGGGTTACTTGAGCTACACAACAAGGGACAAGACAGCCAATACTACATTATCAAATCCTCTCCCATCACGAGCACGCGCGCGCGCGCACACGCACGATGGAGACATAACTCAGTTGCTGGAATGCTTGCCTCAAACATCCAGGTCTAGAGGCCAACACTACATACACTGGGCATGGCAATGCATGCCTACAAGTGGTGTTAGAGACTAAGAGTTAAGTCAGACGTGGCTAGGTAAGGCCCAATGTTGCATATACAACAAAGCAATACAACTCATTTTTTTGGATTAAGAGGAAGTAGGCAAGTCAGGCAAGCAAAGAGTGAGACAACAGTTTAAGTACTGAGCCAAGCAGGTGACTGAGTGGGTAGAAGCGCTGCTCTGCCACAGGCCTCACAACCCAGGGAAGGAGAGAATGACTCCATCCAGATCTCCACAGTTTCATGTCTGAGGCGAGTCTGTCCTACAGAGTGAGGCCAGTTTGAGCTAGCAAGGGCTATACAGTGAGACGTCAGGAAATCAAACGAACAGTATGTGTGGGAGTCGGGGTGGGAAGGGTTAGGGAGCACGGGGAAGGTGACAGGAAATTAGGAAAGTCTGCAAGGTCGCACTTAAAGACTGGCAGAGACAACTATTCCAATCAAAGCAGAGGGCGGTCACAGGGTGCTGACAACAGACTGAGCTCTTGCTACCAGGAGGCTACCTCACACCAGCAAGTTCACACGCAAGTGCACAGACTAATATTTACAAGCTGAGCACTGCCTTCAACAATTTATCTTTATTTTACTTGTGATAACATCACCAATGTCCACCTGGCTCTGACTCCAAATTGCTGGGATTAAAGCAGTGTGTCACTGAAGCTTTTAAGAATGAAAGTAGGCATGGTGGCTCAGGACTGAAATTCCAGCATCCAGAAACTGAATGTAGGAAGCTTCCATGAGTTCAAGTCCAGTCTGACGTAAGGAGACCTTAACTTAAAACACAGCAGGGGAGGAGAGTTAACCCACAGTACAATATTATAGAATAATCTTTTATCTTGAAACAGGATTTTTTTTTTTTTAAAGATTTATCATGTGTACAGTGTTCTGTCTGCCTGTATCACTTACAGGCCAGCAGAGGGCACCAGATCTCAATACAGATGGTTGTGACTCACCATGTGGTTGCTGGGAATTGAACTCAGGTCCTCTGGAAGAGTAGTCAGTGCTCTTTACCACTGAGCCATCTCTCCAGCCCCTGGATTTTCTTTTATTACCTTAAGTGGGAAGACCTACCCTAAGCTAGGACCCTGGATTGCACAGAAGAAAGCAGGCTGAGCTCCACCATTCACTGCTGTCTGCTTCTAGGTCTGGACAAGCTCCACAGCAGGCCTTTCTTATCACGATGGGCTGACTGCACACAAACTGTGGTCTGGAATGAACAAAGTCCTCCCTGACTGCAGCTCTCTGGGCTTTTTGTTTTTTTTTTTTCTGTTTGTTTTTTGAGACAGGCTTTCTCTCTATGTAACAACTCACTCTGTAGACCAGGCTGGCCTGGAACTCACAGAGATCCTCCTGCCTCTGCCTCCCAAGTGCTGGGACCGAAGGCATGCACCACTGTGCCTGGCTTCTGTAGGCTTTGTTAGAGAGGAGAGTCTATCTCACAGCTGATGCCTGCAGGCTTAATGAGCTAAGCTGTGTAGCAGTTCAAGAATTTGCTCATATAGACAAAAAAATGTCACAGATGTACAGTAAAGCAGATTAGTGTGCTTACTGATGTGCACAGGACTTAAGAAAAAGGGAAAGAGAAAAAGGTTATAAACATTCATTAAAAAATAGTTTAAAAAAATCAAGTAAAGTCTTTAAAGAGAGAAGTAAAAAGAAAAAGGAATAAGCCACATAGAGATGTAAAATGGACAGGAAGTCTGGACCCTGTATGGTGTACTGACTTGAAAATGTTTGCTTGCTTATGAGAAAACAACAGTAGCTGAGAGAAACTGGAATATAAAAACTACTAAATTTGGCCAACCTATATATTTTTTAAAAGTCTTAACTTCAAAACGGAAGTCAAAAAATGTTATGTTGGGGAAGAAGTTATGCTTTTCTTTCCACAGAAAATAAAAGGCTGTACATCATTCAAGGTTGATAGAGATCAGATTTGATCCTCGTTACAGACATAAAGAAATAAACTTAAAAAAACAGAAGCAAACTAGAAGTGGCATATATACATATATTTTACCTGCTCAAACCCCCCCCCCCCCAAGACGGGTGTAGTCCTGGTTGTCCTGGAACTCACTTTATAAACCAGGCTGGCCTTGAACTCAGAGATCCGCCTGCCTTTGCCTCCCGAGTGCTGGGATTAAAGGCGCACACCAACCCCCAGCCAGAAATCATCTTTGGCTGACTTGTGTACAATACACACTCTGTATCTGTGTAAAAGGGGATACATGTTACCCTTGAAAGAGCAAGGGACCAATGAAAATAATGGCCCAGGTGGTCCAGCCTTCCAGAGTGCCTCTGTTGCCGTTTCCTCAGAGTTCTGTATCTAGAACAGCTTCAAAGCTGCTGGCTGACATGGTCCAGCCTCACAGACTACTCCAGCCAAACTTCAAATAAACCCTACATTTCCCATCACACAGAGACTAGACAACAGCTAGCTCTCCCAGGTCTTAAACATTATCCCAATTGTCCCAAGGTCCTCTTATGTGGGTTTTTATTCTTTACTCTTTTGGCATTTGGGGGGAGCACCATCCAGCTTCCACAGAAATCATATACAAAGGCTTAGTCTTAATTATGAGTGCCTGGCATTAGCTTTTTTTTTTTTTTGAGATCAGGTCTCCATACTTAGCTCTGGATATAATAGAATTCACTATGCAATCAGGCAGGGTTCCTTCCTTCCTTCCTTCCTTCCTTCCTTCCTTCCTTCCTTCCTTTCTTCAAGACAGGGATTCTCTGTGCAGCCCTGGCTGTCCTGGAACTTGCTCTGTGATTCACCTGCCTCTGCATCCCAAGTGCCGGGATTAAAGGCATGGACCACTACCTCCAGTTCAAGGAAGTTTCAATAATTGGTTTGTTTGTTTTTTGAGAGGAACAGACCCAGGCTGGCCTCAAACAATTTTCTTGTCTCTACTTCCCAAGTGCTGGGTACTCGGGTATGAACCACTATGCCAGCTTGAACATATAGTTAGTTAATAATGTACTGATACTGATTGGTTAACTGTAAGAAGTGTTCTTTAACATATAAGATGTTAGTAAAGAGGAAAGGGCACAAGGAATATCGGAATTCATTGTAGCATTTTCTCAATTGTTCTAAAAATCTAAAACTGTTCTGAAAAATGAAGTCTATACTATCTCACTGTTACAAAGTAAATAAAATCTAGTCTTAAGAGAGAAAAAGTTGCTCTTGAGCTAGAAAAGGATGCTCATAACAGAAATAACAACAGAAAGATTAGAAAAGTTGAATATGAAATGTGACAGTACATCCAAAAGTGAGACATTCGGTCGGCATCAGAAAACAAAAGTCAGGGCAGTTCAGGAGAGAGGACAGAACTAGGGATAATAGCTACAAGCAAGCAGCAGTAAGCAGTGAGGAACTACAAACAGCAGGTGAGACATGATGTTCAAGAAATCTGGACTTTAACAGTGGCAACCCATGCCTATATCCACAGTGCTCCCTGGGAGGCAGAGGCAGGAGGATCTCTGCGAGTTCAAGGCTAGCATGGTCTAGGACAGCCAGGACTATTACACAGAGAAACCCTGTCTCAAAGAATAGAACAAAACCAACCAAACAAACAAAAAACAGCAGCAAGAAACAAAAAACAAAAACAAACAAAAAACAAAAGCCACAGTACTCATGAAGCACAAGGATTGCCATGAATCTGAGGGCAGCCTGGGCTTGCTACATAGTGAAACCTTGATGGAAGGCAGGAGAGAGGGAGGGAGGGAGAAAGAACACAAATACCTGGCTGTGATTCAGAGAGAAACAGAAATGACAGCCTTAATTTTCCAGTGACACAGAAAGTGAGGGTTTTTGCCACAAAAGGAAGAGTTGAAAGCATAGTGACAGAGGTCTGGGAAAAACCTGGTGAAACAGCCATGGGAGAATTTAGGACACCAGAAAGCAAGAATTGGCAAAAAGTTGTGATATTGACAGAAGTTAACATTATACTGAATCTTAGCTTGAGTTTTTCTTTTTTTCCTAGCAATATGTTACAGTCTAAAATCAGAAACAAAGAAAAGAGTTGATGGATATCATTCAAGATAAAGACAGTCACGTACTGTAGTGAACTGAATGCCCGTAATGCAGGCATAGGCAAGCAAAAAAATAAAAAAAAAAAAAAGAAAAAAGAAAAAATACACAAAGTAATAAAGAGGGGCTAGGGATATGGCTCTGTGGGTAAAGCATTTGCCACACTAATATAGGGACCAGAATTCAGATCAGCAGCATGCATACATGCCGTGGGCTAAGTGTCATGCCTATATTCCCAGCACTTAAGAGACAGAGACAGGATCCCAGGAGCAAACTGTCTGAATCACCAAACTCTGTGTTACTGTGAAAGATCCTGCCTGAGATATAAGGTGGGGAAGGATGGAGGGACACACGTGGCATCAATGTCTGGCCTCCACATGCATGTGGACCTGTACCCAAACACACACACACACACACACACACACACACACACACACACACACACAGAACCAGAAAACCTAACAAGTGCAAAAAGTTGCCTCTGTGGATTGGGGACAGTCAAACTGTGACTGGTAAGGAAGCTACAGTGAAGGGGTATACCTGAAAGGAAAGTAGTGTCACAGATGAAGTCCAGGTTGTAGTAATCCTGAGGTGTAGCTGAAAATACAAAGGTATGTCAATGATCTCCTGCCCAGCAACTAGGGAGCTCAGAGTATTCCCAAGGTGCTAGAGACAGAACAACAACAAAAATAAAAAACAAAAGGGCTGCAGAGATGGCTCAGGGATTAAGAGCGGATCTTGCAGAGGACCTGAGGACCTGGGCGATTCCCAGTACCAATACAACTCTAACTCCAGTTCCAGGAGACCTGACACCTCTTCTGCTTTCTGTGGGCACCAAACACACAAATGGTGCACACACACACACACACACACACACACACACACACACACACACACACACAGAGGCAAAACACACACATAAAATAGGTAAATCTAAAAAACAAAAACAATACATAATTTGTGGACAGTAGATAGGAACACTGTGGTTTTACCAGAGTTTTATAGGAACCACTATAATTGCAAGGCAACACATTATACAAGGATCACAGTAGCAGTAGGAAAGGAAAGCAAAGAAGCAGCTTATTCCTTTTTTCTTCTACATGGTCACAGAAAATACCTCTGGTTGCAGAACAGGGGCCAGATGGACTATGGGTTACGTGCATAAAAAGAATAATAAGGTGCACATCAAAAGCTTCAAATTGCTCATCATGGCATTGGCAGTGTGTGCCTTTAATCCACAACTCGGGAGGCAGAGAGGCAAGTAGATCTCTACATGGCTTCAAGGACAGCCTGGTCTACACAGAGAGCTCCAGGCCAGGCAGGGCCACATGGAAAGACCATGTCCGGGATAGGGGGGACAGGGGTTCTATTTAAAAGTTGGGCATGGTGGTGCATGCCTTTGATCCTAGCACCCGAGAGGCTGAGACAGGTGGATCTCTCTGCATTCAAGACAAGTCTGGTCTGCATAGGGAGTACCAAGAGATACACAGTGAGACACTGTCTTAAAACAAACAAAACTGTAACTGCTAGTTAAAGACCAACCTAGTAGAGAACATAAGAAATGTTGCCAGAACTCTTTGAAATGCAAGAGTAGGGAATGGTAGCAGAAATACTAGTTGTCAGTAAGTACCATATAATGTAATTAAGCCTACCTACAAGGAACACACGTAAAGCAAACCAAGAGGCATACATGACATCTTTTAAACGCACCAAGCATACACTGCACACGAACAGGGTCACCTCTATGAAACACTAGAGTCAGTGACTACACATGGAGAGTACAAGGAAGGATACAAAAATAGCAGCCAGGCGTTTGCACTGCCTTTTACAAACGCCTTTAATAGATCTGTCTGATCATCCCCAGGTCAACACTGCTATTGTGCACATTTTTCTAAAGACAAGGCAATTAGAATAAAACAAATATATATATATATATATGAAGGAAATTAATTCTCAGTTTCACGAACAAACACAGACTTCCACATTTCAAGACAGCCGGGCTGAAATCCTACTCAAGCTTATAAGGAATAATGGGGGCGGGGGTTCTATTAATTGTCCAAGGTGTAGAAAGAAAAGGCCAGTAGACACTTCCCTGTTTGCTTCCTCTCACTTTAGATGGAAAACTCCATCGGTGAGAAAAGTCAGGGTCAAAGTTAAATCCGTCCTCTTCCCTTCGTGTAACTCTGAACTTCGGTGACCGCGCCCCCCCCATCTCCTCCCCATCAAATGAAGATGAGGCAAAGTGTGAGAAAAGACAAGAGCTAGGAGGATGACAACGGGGTAGGGTGGAGGGCAGGTCTAACAGTACGGGATGGGGGAGGGGAAGGAGGGCTGGAATTGGAGGGAACTGGTAAGAGGAGGAGCCCGAGAAGCCGGAGAACCCCGGAGAGGTGTGCGACTCCGACTGCTACAAAGAGCTGAGGCCCCAAAGGGTCCCGGAGCGGGGGGCACTGAAGGACCCCCGGGGCTCGAGAGACCGGAAGCTGAGACCCCCCAAAAAAACACGACACCAGAAGGGGGCGCAGGTGATAACCCACAGGAATGAATGGGGAAGGCGGTCCGGGGGCGGGGCCGAGGAGGGGCCCCGGGATGGGCGTGGCACCAACCCCTCTCCAAGCCCGAACCCCTACCCCAAGAGTCCCGAGAGAAGCGGCTCCGCGATCCCCGCACTCACCGCCGGTCTCGTCAGTTACATAGGGAGTCGCCATCTTGAGAACCCGAACCACTTCCGGCGTGAGCGGGCTGGGGTCCCGCCCCCTCCCCACCGGAAGTGGAGTCCTCATCCTAGCAAGCCACCATTTTCATCTTAAAGAGAGACTGCACCATTTCATCGACCCGGGGGTGGAGGAGAAGGGGAGGCAGACGCTCAGAGCGGGCTGTGAAGGCGAGGGCACTTTTACCGCCACCGCCACCGTTCTCTAACGCCCGGGGCACACAGAACAGTCCTCCGGGCTCCGACACACCAGCCCCCTGCTGATGCTCGCGCGCCACCGGCACCCATAGGGAAGGAATACTCGGGGCCCGCGGCCTGCACCCAAGCAACACCCAGCGGCAGGGCGATGGCCGACGGGGATGCGTGGGGCGCAAGGACGTGGCTGGGGACGGATGTGCACGCAAACCCCCAGGCCACACTTGAGAAGGCGGGCAGCCCAGCCTGAGTCTGCACGGAGACCTAGGAGAGGGGCGCGCAGGGAGGAGCGCACTGCGGGTCGGTCACCTGTCCCCGTGGCCTCTGGGGTGCCGGCGGCTTCCATGACCGAGTCGGGCGGGCAGCCCTCGCCAGTTGTGCCCCGTGAGATCCGGCGGCCAAGCGACTCCTCGCCCGGCGGCCCAGCCGCGCGGATCCTCCCGGGTCGGAGGGCACCGGGTGAAGGCATTTGGGCGGACCCAGGCAGTATTCTAATGAGCCGCGCCCAAGTGTCCGGATCAGCTCTGGCGACCGGATCAGCCGGGCCACTCACTCTCCGGCTGTCGGGACACGTGTGGCCCCTCCCTTGGTTAGGTTGTGCCCCGCCGGGTGCCTCGTTCTAAAAGCGAACCCAAAGTGTCGCGTCCGTGTCCCCCGCGCCCCATCCTACAACTCCGCGCTCCGGACTTCGGCAACTTAGTTCCTTCGGGGCTAAATCCTGTTAAACTTGTTTCCCCTGCAGCCCGGACGGGGCAAGTGGCAGGTTCCTCTCCTCCAGGTGTCCGACTCTGCCCTCCTTCCCCAATTTAGTTTTTTTTTTTTTTTTTTTTCCCTTAACTCTTTCACCTTCCACTATTGCCCTCCTCCGGCTTAAGTTAATGTCCAACAGGGCCTCTCGAATCGAGAAGGGGAAAATATTAGTGCCTATCTCAGCAATGCACGGCATGTCCTACTTAAAAAGAAACAAGAAAAAAAAAAGAAAAGAAAAGAAAAAGAAGCTGGATAATAGTAGTGCACGCCTTAAATCCCAGCACTCAGGAGGCAAAGGCAGGCAGATAGATCTCTGTGAGTTCGAGGCCAGCCTGATCTACAGACCTAGTTAGTTCCAGGAGAACCAGGGGTACAATTAGAAATCCTATCTCAATAAATAAATAAAATAAACGGCAGACAAGGACCTTATTAAGCCTTAGCAATTTTTGCAAGCCTACACGTTGCCTTCTTTACAATTCTCCGAGGTCTGATTTCTCTCCCTGGGGTCCAACTCAAGTCTCAAAATCACTTTTAAACTGTTTACATATACTACATGTTATTTCAAGGATTTTTTCGTTTTTGCTGGGGTTTTGTTTGTTTGTTCTGTCTTGTTGAGCCAGGATATCACTGTGTAGTCCTAGCTGTCCTGAATTTGAATTTGATCCATAAACCAAGCTGGCCTCCAGCTCACAGAGATCTACCTGTCTCTCCCTGGGACTAAAGTCATGCAACACCACTGCCTGGCAATACTTTTAATCCCTCACTGTGTGTCTGCCTGTGTAGGGGTGTATTCACCCAAGCCCTTGCCTCCGTGTGTGTGTGTGTGTGTGTGTGTGTGTGTGTGTGTGTGTGTGTGTGTGTGTGTGTGTGCGCGCGCGCGCGCGCAGGAGGAGTGCTGAGGAATGAAACCTGAACTCTACTTAGCAGTGCTAGACAACCATTCTGGCCAGGGAATGACAGACACCCCAGTCGACCAGCCTATACCTGTTTTCTTCCATCAATGAGAAATGGGATGGTGCCTCTAAAACTTAGTGGGTGCATGACTCTTGACTGAACTATTTCAAAAGTGGTTTCTACAACTTTTAATGGACCTTCTCGAAGAGGGGAAATCCTCATTGACCTGTTTACTTTCTAACCCTGGACACTCTCCATCACTGTACCCCTCAAGACATCCTGTACCGACCTCTGAAGGTTGGCAGGAAGTGAAACTCAATTGTCTGTACAGTCGACCAGCCTTCTACCCAGCCCTGGGCCCCGGATGTGTACCCCCACCCAGAGGAGGAAGAGGAGGCTGGGAAAACAGGCTTGTTTTTTCCTTTCCCTTTGTTCTTTGTGGTTTCTTTCTTTCTGACTTTTATGATGTGGTTGATTAAAGAGCTGAGCACCTGGAACTATAGGCATTAGACACCTCCTCCTGAGATGTGTCTGTGCAGGGTTTCTCTTGGTGACAGTGCTGCCTGTCTTGGCACTCACTGTAGACCTGGCTGGCCTCGAACTCACTGAGATCTGCCTGCCTTTGCCTCCTGAGAGGTGGGATTAAAAGCAAGCGCCACCACCGCCAGGCTTTTCTGTGCTTTTCTTCCTCCACCCCCACCAACAACTGACTTGGGGCATGATGAAGCACAGACCCTAAACTTTCAATCTCCTCTTATTCTTTATTAGAGAAATTGTATTCTGGTTCTTTTTAATGTAGGAGTGTCTTTAATTTTGTGTAAGGTCAGATTGAAAGAATAGTTTGGGACTTAGCGTCATTGGAACGGTCTTTGTTTAGAGCGATCAAGAGCCGGGGAGTTTTATATACATCTATCCGCTTGGCTCAGTCTGCATTTTTGCTTATCCTGTAGAACTCAGAATGAAAGTGTTTGTTGAAGCCAAGAGGGGTGGCATTCACCAGTCATCCCAGCACTTGAGAGTCTGAGTCAGGATGGCAAATTCAAGGCCAGCCTAGGCTACACACATAGTGAAATATTGTCTCAGAAAAAATAATAATAAAAGTTTGTTGACTGTGAATAAGAAAGATATATAGGAAGGAGAGATAAAGCCTTGCTGTCAGTGAAGAATCTGGGCAGTGGTGGCACACTCAGGAGGCAGAGGCAGGTGGATGTCTGTGAGTTTGAGGCCAGCCTGGTCTATATACTGAGTTTCAGGACAGCCAGGGCTACACCGAGAAACCCAGTCTCAAAAACAAAACAAAACAATGAAGGATACTACTCTTAAAAATGAAGGCTGTGGGGTTGGGGTATAAACCAACGGTAGAGCACTTGGGAAGTGTGTTCCAGACACTGAAGTTCATCTGCAGCAGATGGTGATGATGATGGAGAAGGAAGAAAAAAGGAAAAAGAAACAATTAAGAATCAGGATGCAAACAAAGCAAGACCAAAAACAACAACAAAAATTGGAACAGAGCCTGATCATTCTCCAACTCCTGATCTGGACCCACAGTTAAAATGAATAATAATAACAATAACAATAATAATACCAAACCCTATTACTCTAGACTCTTGAGAGAAGTTGCTTCCATGAGCTTGTCTCCAAATATTTGAGAACTGCTTAGTTCTCGGTTTCCACTAGAGGGCCTATGTTTGTTTGGTTTTATTTTGTTTTTTTCTCTGACCCTCGCGGGGGCCCAAATATTTATACACATGAGGTGTGGATGTGTATACACAACACACACGGACTGATAAACACATTTCGAACCAGCAGTCTCTCCTCCCACTCCTTTCTGCTCCCTGATACAAAGGGAGGCAATTCCAAGAACCCCAGGCTTTGTTACCCTCCCTCTTCAGAGAAGGGCAGAAGGGAGTTAGTCAGGGTTTGGAGGCGGGGCCTGGGAGCAGGACGCCTGGGTCCCTGCTTGCTACCAGTAAATCCTTAGGCCTTGTTCTCTCCTGTGTTACTCTCCCAGCCTCATACCTTCTATGCTACCCTAAGAGTCCTGGCAACTCCAGAGTACAGGTAGGAGGAATAGAAAGGCTTTACCTCCCGCGGCTACCTTTGCCCCGAGCCTCCTGTGCCTTCTGCTAAGGCCAGAAGGTAAAGTACCAGGGTTGGGTATGGAGAAAAGGTGAACACAGACAACCGGACTCTATGCATCTAAACCTCCACCCTGCTCTTAAGGAGAGGATATGGATGTTGAGAGAAAGATGTGTGCATGGACAAGTCTTTAGGGGAGTTCAGGAGAGGTGGGCAATCGTCTCAGAGAGAGTCGAGCATTGTGGAAGCCATGTGGAGAGGTCTTAAGTTGTGAAGTGTGGAACTCTGGCCTTTCCCCTCAGGGTTCTCCTGAATGTGGAGTCTTTGAGTTGGGCAGGTGAGTCTGAGATGAGGATGTGGAGACTGGAGGGCGGACCAATTGCTGACCAGTTACCGGATGGTTCAGATCAGCACCCTGACCCCCTTCCTTACCTCCCCCCGGGGGAGGGGATGGATAATGGGAGAGGCTGTGGGTAACTAGAAGGAAGGGAAAAATAGAAGCAGAACTGCCCCAGGCGTGAGAAGACAGCAGGGTGGGAGTGGAGAATGTGGCACCGGCCAGAGAGCCCTGTCCTCTCCAGGCCGGGAGGGAGAAGGCTGTGTTTGCTGGAAAGCTGTGGGCAGCGGTGGTCTCGGCAGCGGCGGGAGGGCAGGCTGGGTGGGGGCCGGGCAGAATGTCGTCAGGAGCTGGGCGGCCCCGGGGCGGCCGCGTCTGCCTAGCCCGTCCCCTCCAGCCCAGCTCGGGCTCTTTCGCCCCAGCTCCGACCCGACGGTGCCCAGCGCCTTGCCGGCCGGGGCAAGGTAGAGCCCCCGCTCGCCCCGCCCCGCCCCGCTCGCACCAGGGCAGGAGGGCCGCGGAAGGGGCCGCCCCACCGGCTGGGTGAGGGCTGCGGCGTCCGGAGGAGGAAGCGTTGACAGCTGGAGCCGGCTGCTTGGAAGCCTTTGCGCTGGGACGCGGGAGCTGCTGCGCACAGACAGACCCGGGTAAGCTAAGCCCCTCTCCCGCTTGATCACTCGGAGAGCTGGGGAAGCTCAGCTCCTGGGGGACTCGGAAGAAAGGTCTCCTGGCTTGGAGACCCGCAGTGACACACCGGTGAAGAAGGGTTCTTCGGTGGCCTTTCCACACCTGTCGCGGGGAAGTTTCTGAAAAGACTTGGGCGGGGGGGGGGGCGGGGGAGATCCCTTTCCGCTTTAAATAGGATAAATGAACCCGATTAGCGAGGAAGGAAAGCAAATGTCATTGGTCATCTCTACACCTTCAGAACTTACAAGCCCACACACTCCCCTCCCCAAGCCGTGCCAGCATCGTAACTTCCTCCTGTTCTAGTAGCTACGACACCCTCCGCACAGGAACGTAACCTGCCACACACTCCCTCATCCAGGCAACACAGTTATCCCTGAGGTTTGTGGTGGTTTAATGAATTCTGATGCTTCAACGACAACAACAACAACCCCCTCCTCCCCCGACTAGTAGCAGGGATGGTGAGGAGAGAACGGACCCCCAAGCCTGGGCAAAAGGGAGCATCCCCCCCCCCCCCGTATGGTTAAGTCCAACTCATCAGGCCTGGCTCCAAAACTAGGGGTACCCGATCTGTGAAGTTTCTTGCTGGGACATCCTGTATGTCCTAGAGACATGGCTAATTCTTGAATAATAGTGAACTTGGAAGTGAGCGATGACGTGAAAAGGAAACTTAAAAATGTTAGTGCCAGTTGTGGAAACCTTAGCTGCTTGGTAACTGCAATTCTAGTATTCGATGTTTAAAACTAGACCTAGAGGATGAGAGGTACCAAGACGGTGGAAGGCACTATAGACAGAAGTCTTGACTGAGATCCTGATCCTTATTCTTTCTGAGCCCAGGATGTTGTAGGATTCTTTCCCTCCCTCCAAGTCAACTTCTTCCGGTCTCACCCTAGGTTGGTAGAGGTGAGTCGGGAAACCATAGGAGGGAAGGGACCGTGAGTCACAAGTAGCTGGGAGTAGGGCTAAGGACCCCACCCTTCCAGGCCTGCATTTGTCTGGACTAGCCCAGGTTATAGCCTCAGGGTCGGGTTGGAGCTGAAAGACAACTTTGGACTTGTTCCGGGTCTTTAAGGCCCCAGGATCCGGCAGTTTGCTTTCCTTCAGGTTCTGGAGCATCCAAACTCTCAGTGACAGAAGTCAGGGCAACTGGATAGATCCCAGAAGCCCCCATATCCAAGGTCCCAACCCACAGATGTCCCTGACGCCACCTCCTCATTTCTCAGAGGCAAATTCATGATCTTGATGCTACTACATGTCTGTGCCTGACATAGGCATTTTTACTTTGGGGTGGAAGGTACATAACCGGGGTTTACTACTTGTGGGAGTCATGAGAATTTGTGAGCTCTTGGCTTAAGAATATAATTTTTCCTAACATCCAAATGTCTTTCTTTCTTCCTTTTTTTCACTTTTTTGGGGGGGAGTGGAGGACGGGGTTTCAACAGAATTACCCACGATATCCTTGAATTTACTCTGTAGCCTAGGCAGAGCTTCATCTCTCTCTCCATCTCCTGAGTAGCTGGAATCACCTATACCACCATGCCTCACCAGACATAAAATTATTTTCTATGTATTACTTTATGTAATGCTGGCCGATGCTTATTAAATTCTTATTCTGTATCATCCAGTTTGCTATGTGCACTTGCTTATACAAACTTATTTAAATCTACTCTTTGATTAGGTACCTATTTATTGATAAGGTTGGACTAGAGTGTATAACTCAGTAGAAGGCTTACCTACCTGACATGCTTGAGATCTTAAGGCCCTGAGTTCCATCCTAGCTTTAAAAAAAAAAAAAAATTAACTTGGTTCAGTGAGTAAAATGACTCATCTAAGAGCTAGGGTTCTAACCTGTACCTAATTCAAAAGTCCATTCTTGAGCAGGGTGTGGTGACAGATGCCTATAAGCCCAGCTCTTAAGGGGCTGGGACTAGAGCTATATAGTAAGAACCTCGCTCAAAAACAATAGAAGGAAAAACATTCCCAGTTTACATTATACATATTGCCTCTCCAGGAGAGCCAAGGAGGGGCCTGGAAAGAAGTGTCTTGGCCTCTCTCCTTTTCATTGTCCCTTGTTTGCTCTATCATCTTCTCCCTCAAATTCTGTCTCTCATATTCCATCCTCAGCAGTGGTCAGAGATGCTAATTAAGCTATTGAGGCTCTAATTGATCATAAGACATATATTCATTACCTCTGTTGTCGGCAGAGGATGGAGTGTAGTTATTGATAGAAGCCAGGAAGGCAAAGTCCTTTCCTCTGGTGTCACTGTCCTAAAAGACCCTTTTCAAATGTTCTCTGAGAACCCTTGGAACATGGGTGTTGTGATGCATGGGGCAAAGGTCTCAGAGAAGATCTGATGCCATCAGAAAGGAAAAGGCTGGTCCCCAACTGCCTCCCTGTACCTAGACCAAGGTTCCCTAAATCAGTGGATAGAGGTCACAGTGTTTTGTTTTGGAGTCAAGGCCTCAGGTAGGATGTCTGGCCTTGCTTTTCTACTCCCCAGATGCTGGGACTACAGGCATGTATATTCCTGCCTGGTTTATGTAGTGTTGGAGATTGAATTTGTGCATGCTAAACAGGTATTTTATCAACTGAGCTACACCTCCAACAAAGCCGGAGTGTTGGATGGAATACCTCAGCGAGTGCTTTTTAGCATCAGTCACAAATGTAGCAGTGGTTTAGTAACTACTGTCTACCCTCCAAATTATGTCATGCTTCCCCAACTGCCAAGTAGACACTCTGTGGCATCGTAATTATTCAAACTTGGATTAATAGTCCCCCCCCCAAAAAAAATGACTGCTGAGGTTTATACAACTATGTGTACAACCAATATTGGAAGACTGAGTCCACGAGGAACCCTGCTTTAGGTACTGAGGCTAGGGTAGGAAAAAAGACTGACTCTGACAAGTTACTGCTTCTGTGAAACCAACGTTTCGGGAGACTACGAACACTGAAAGAAGGGATGAAATTTTCTACTCGTGACTTGAAGAGGAGCCACACCTAAGGTAGAACAAGAAAATAAAGGCGCTGAGGCAGGAGGTTTGCATGAGTTTCAGATAAGCTTGGGCCACTGAGAGCCTGTCTCAAAAACAAAAAACTGGATGGAACATTCAGGACGTTCTCCCAGCTGAGCTGGTAGTTTAGATGAGGTGGCTTTGCCAGGAATAGGGAAAAGTATCCTAATCAGGCAAGATGGCAGGTATTGTGGCGACAACCAGGTAGCCTTGGCATACAGAGGAGCTAGAAAGTAGTGTGTGGCAGGGACAGTGAACAGCGTGGAGGCAAAGGCCTTACTGAGCTGTTTGGGGCTGCAGCCTCACTCCTGCAGCTTATCAGTTAGTTGCCTTGGGTTATCCCAGCCCATGACTTCCTCGGGCTTCAGTTGTATCTTCCTTCTCCTCTCTTCCTTTTTTTTTTTTTTTTTTTATTCTCTTTTATAAAATTTTATTTTTATTTGTGTGTGTGCATGTGTGTACGTACCAATGTGGTATAAGTGTATAGGTCAGAACACAACTTTATACACTTTCTTTATTCTTCATTTACCTTTACCCCCTCTGGAGACAGGGTTTCTCTCTGTGGCTTTGGAGCCTGTCCTGGAACTCACTCTGTAGACCAGGCTGGTCTTGAACTCACAGACGTCTGCCTGCCTCTACCTCCCAGGTACTGGGACTAAGGGCCTGCGCCACCACCGCCCAACTTTTTTAAGGGCTATGGGGATGCAACTCAGGTCTCCAGGGCTGGTGCAGCAAGCTCCTTTAGCCACTGGACCTTCTCAGCAGCCCCTCTTGGCTTTTTAGGGGTTTTTGTTGTTGTTGTGTTTTTGTTTGTTTTTTGTTTTGTTTTGTTTTGTTTTGAGATTGGCTGTATTAAATTTTTTTCATCAGGACCATTGCTTCCTCAATAATGACATGGAAACTTATTATTAATTATGGAAACTCGGCTGATAGCTCGGGCTTGTTTCTACCTAGCTTTTATAACTTAAAGTAACTCATTTCTACTCATTTACATGCTGCCATATGACTCATGGCTTTTACCAGCTCTCCTGCATATCTTGCTGGCTCTTTGCCTGGCTGTTGACTCTGCCTTCTTCTTCCCAGTGGTCTCTCTGCCCCAAAACTCCTGCCTGCCTATTGGCCATTTAGCTTTTTACTAAATCAGTTACAGTGACATATCTTTGTACAGGGTAACGGAATATTCCACAACATTCCCCCCTATTTGTCTAAGCTACAAGGAAAGGTTTTAACTGTAATGAAAATATAAACAATAAGAACAGTTATCAAGGGGCTGGAGAGATGGCTCAGCCGTTAGAGGCTAGGCTCACAACCAAAAATATAAGAACAGTTATCAGGTAAGAATTGCATATGCAATGTCCAGTCCATTTGTATTTAACATATTTGGAGAAAGTACTCCATTATTTATTCCATCTTGATGAGTCCAAAGCTCTATAACTAATTCGTTTGTCATAACTAAGGAAAAAATGCAGGTATAACTGTCTAGTCTTCAGCTCCCTCAAAGATCCCAGAAGGATATAGACTACCTGAGTAAACAGGAAGTATAGAGCAAACAATTTCCAAAAGTATAGAAGTGACAGAAACAGCTGGCTTCCTGGACAATCACCCAGGGTTCCTCTGTAATGTGTGGCATCTGTCTTTGGCCTACAGGCCTAGAATATCTGACAGATTTTTCTGTGAACTAGGAATTTTGTTTCGTTCATTTTGTTTTTCAAGATAGGATTTCTCTATGTAATAGCCCTAGCTGACCTGGAAGTAGTTCTGTAGACGAGACTGGCTGAAAACTCACAGAGATCCGCCTGCCTATGCCTCCCAAGTGTTGGGGCTAAAGGCATACATTACTAACAGCAGCTGAAGCAGGAGTTTTGAAGGATGTCATGCCTTGTCTTGACAAAGTTCAGCAGACGATATCTTTTGTGTCCTGCTTGTCCAATTTGGACAGCATACTGTCAGCAGTTGAGGCAAGGACAGTTTCTTTGTCCAGTAGCTAGCTGCTTTTGCTCTCTGGGAGAGCAGCAGCTGGTGCTCTTAACCACTGAGCCATCTCTCCAGCCTCCAACAATTTATTCTTTTAATCCCATCATTTCTATATTATACCACCCATTTTTCTCTTCAAAAAGAGATCCTTGAGTCTAATCTCCTCTATTCAGTTTTTTTTTTTTTTCTGAAAAAGACCTAACCACCCTAAATATCCACTGAATAACGAAAATCCATCCACCCCATCTCTTGGGAATGTGGGTGCTATGTTCTCTAGAATGCTTGATGTTGTCTGAGGGAGCTGGTATATTTTAGAGGATCCTGGGACAATTGGGATAATGGCCAGGACCTGGAGAGCTAGCTGCTGTCTAGTGTCAGTGTGATAGGAAATGTAGTAGGGCCTATGTCAAGTTTGGCTGGAGCAGTCTGTGAGGTTGGACCACCTAGGTCACCCATTTTCATTGGTGTCTGGTCCCCTTGCTCTGAAAACACATAAACTTTCAAAGGTAACATACATGTCTGCATTAACACAAGTATGAACTGTACATTGTATACAAGCCAGCCAAAGGTGATTTTTGTTTATGTTTGAGCAGGTAAAATACACGTCACCTGTCTTACCATTTGTTTATTTTGTTTTGTTTTTTGTCTTTTTAGGTTTATTTCTTTATGTTTGTAATCAGGATTTTCAGGGGGTTCTTCCCTGATCAAATTTGATCTCTATCAATCTCAAATGAATCCACAGCCTTTTATTTCTGTGGAAAGAAAAGCATAACCTCTTTCCCAATATAATCTATTTTTTTGACTTCCATTTTGAAGTTAAGACATCCTAAAAACATATAGGTTGGTTTAATTTAGTGGTTTTTGTAATTCAGTGTCTCTCATAAGCAATCAAAGAAAATATCTTTTTGGTTTTTCAAGACAGGGTTTGTCTTTGTATCTCTGGCTTCTGGCTGTCCTGGAACTCACTCTGTAGACCAGGCTGGCCTCAAACTCAGAGATCCACCTGGCTCTGCCTCTGGAGTGTTGGTATTAAAAGCATGTGCCACCACTGCCCGACTACAATCAAAAAATTTAAAGACAACATAACAATCAGGATCCAGGTTCCCTGTGTATTTTCCATCTCTGCATGGTTTATCCTTTTTATATTATTTTCTCTTTAAAGACTTTATCTTATTTATAAACTATTTTTTCTATGACCTTCTGTACCCATTTTCTTAAGCCTATTGACATTTTTTTAAACACACTGTAACCTGTTTAGAGTTGTTTGTTTTTCTTGTCTGAACATGCTTTACTGTGTTTCTGTTACCTTTTCAGTCTGCACTAGACAGGGTTTCTCTGTAGCTTTGGAGGCTGTCCTGGAACTTGCCCTGTAGACCAGGATGGTCTGGAACTCACAGAGATCTGCACGCCTCGCCTCTGCCTCCCCGAGTGCTGAGACTAAAGCCGGCCACCACAGCCCGGCTTAGCTCTTATAATTTAAATAAGATCATTTCTGTTCGTTCATGTGCTGCCACATGGCTCACGACGGAGCTCTGGCTAAAGGTATATATCCTGGAACTCAATACTAGAGCAGGCTGTCCTCAGATTCAGAGATCCACATGCCCCTGCCGCTGATAGGGTTAAAGGCATAGGTCACCAAGACGGATGGATTTTTTAAAAATTAATGTGTGTATATTGGAGTATAGAGGATGTGTGTGCAGAGCCTATGGAGTCTAGAATAGGGTCATCCAGTTAGTCCCTTAAAGGTCGAATTAGTAGGCTAGTGTAGGTCAGCTGGGAACCAAAGTAGTTTTGTTGTTGTTTGCTTGTTTGATACAGGGTCTCTCTACATAGCCCTAGCTGTCCAGGAATTCACTACAGACTGGGCTGTCCTTGAACTCAGAGAGTTCCTCCTGCCTCTGCTTCAAGGGTGCTTCAATCAAAGGCGTGCGCCACCATTTTGAAGCTTAGTTGTAATTTTTGACACAAGGTCTCACTCCATATCCCAGACTGTCTTCAAACTCACCGTCCTCCTGCCTCAGGCTCCCAGGGCTTTGGGGGTGACATGCATGCACTTGTGTTTATCAGACACTGGGTTTTCTTTTAAGGTTTATTTATTTACATGTATACAGTGTTCTGCCTGCATATATCCCTGCACGCCAGAAGAGGGCACCAGATCTCATTACAGCACCACCATGAGGTTGCTGGGAATTGAACTCAGGTCCTCTGGAACCCCTGAACCATCTCTCCAGCCCCCTGGGGTTTTAAAATATTTTTTGTTGTTTGTCCTTTATAGGTTTTTTTTTGTTTGTTTGTTTTTTTGTTTTTGGAAACAGGACCTTGATGTACCCTACATTGATCTTGAACTTGTAAAGTTCATGTGTGGCCTTACAGTCCTTATCCTTCTGCATGATGCACCTCTCAATGCTGGGACTGCAGTTGTTTTTAACCCCAAGGAGAAGAAACAGTGAGAGGTTTCTCACCATATAGTCCAGCCTGGCCTTGAACTCACGACGATCCTGCTTCATCTTCCTGGGTTCTTGGATTATACACTGTTTTATAATTCATTTGTTTGTTTTGACTTTTAATTCTTTTTGTGATCTTCTTTCTTTTTTTTTTTTTAATTTATTTTTTTCTTCTGCACATTGGTGTTTTGCCTGCATATTTCTGTGTGAGGCTGTTGGTTCCTGGAGTTACAGAGAGTTGTGAATTGAACTCAGGTCTTCTGGAAGAGCAGTCAGTGCTCTTAATCACTGGGCCATCTTTCCAGCCCTGTGTTTTTTTTCTTTTTTTTTTTTTCCATTTAAAATTTTAGCTGTGTTAGTACAGTAATTGTTGCCATTTCTTGTAGGCTTCCTTTCTGCCAGTCATTTTAACTTCTCAACTGTGAGCCACGAATACCATTCTCCGTTTTGCAGGTGTAATTATCCCAAGCCACAGGCCTGTCACAGGCAAGAGTGGAACCCAGTTAAATCTCAACAGCCTTGTACTATTTACTTCTGTAAACTATGTAATTACTGTTGTTGCTGTTATAAAATAATTAACGTGAGTGTAGCTCAATTGTAGACCATTTGCCTCGGACACCCAGGGAGGGCCCTGGAAACAAGGTCTCATCAGGGCCTGTGGCTCAGGCAGGCCTATTGCCAAACCAGTTAGATGCAGCCTAGGCTACACAGCAGGGGCCACACGGTAGCGAGACCTTGGCAAACAAACAAAAATAAAATCATCAAGAAATGACACCCTCTACTCCTCAGTCCTTAAGCAGGTATTAGTTGGGACCACGTGATCATTCCTGCTTGTATCCTGGGTCCCGCACCAAAAGGTGGAGCTCAACACACGTTGGTACCCCAGCAGGGTGTTAGATCTGGTATCCTAGCTGAGCCTGCAGCTCCACAGTCCCGCACCCAGGAAACTGGAGTCTTCCTCTTCAACCTCCTCCGGTCCCCCACGAGCCAAGTTCCCTGCCGGCCGTCCCTGCTGGAGCCCCGTGGGATATGAACAGGGGTTAGGCAGGGTCCCAGCCTCTGCCAGTTCTGAGTCTCGTGTCACAAGCGCTGGAGGTCGTTGCTAGAGGGGTGTGGCTCGAGGGAGTGGTGACTGGAGGCGGAGCAAGATGGGGTCTTGCCATGTGAGGCGAGGGGAGGTGAGAACCTTGGGAGAGTGGGAGGAGATGGGCAGAGGCCACAGAGCCTGAAGTGGGGGCAGGAACTGAAAAAAGCCACGCGCATTCAGTGTGAGTGTGTGTGAGAGTGTGTGTGACTGAGTGTATGTGATTGTGTGTCAGTGTGTGTGTGAGAGAGAGTGTGTGTATGTGTGACTGAGTGTGTGTGTGTGTCAAAGAGTGTGTGTCAGAGTGTGTGTGTGTGTGAATGTGAGAGTGTGTGAGTGTGTGTGACTGTGAAAGAGTGTGTGTGTGTGTGTGTGTGTGTGTGTGTGTGTGTGTGTGTGTTGATAGTGGCCAGACGAATCAGGACGGATAGAAGATGTCGGAGTGTAAGAAGGACCCAGATGTGAAAGAAAATGTCAGAGATGAGTCAGAGTCAGAGAAAGGGAGGTAGAGAGTAGGCCTTGTCGGGGAGGGTTAGAGATGCCCAGGGAAAGGAAGGAAGCTCACACATGGCAATCAGTTCTCCTGAGAGCTCTGTTCTTCCCCCAGGCTTACCCTCTGAAAAAGAGACCCAAGAAGCTGTACTACCAGGCTCTCTTTGTGATATTCCTTAAGAAAAGAAGGATGGCCAAAGAGAAGGGCCTGATCAGCCCAGGAGACTTTGCTCAGCTGCAAAAATACATAGAATGTGAGTCTTGCCCCGGGCCCTTCCGTTCTGGAGGCTCCTTTTCCTCACACTCCACCCCAGTGTCCCAGCCACCTGGAGCCCATCTGCTCCTCAGATGGCTAGGCCTGTGCCTAGGCTTGAGCTGTGGAGATGCTGAAATGGCCCTCCCTTCCTGCAGTCCCTTTTCTCAGTCCAGTGGGACCTTTCCCCCTGTGCAGCTCTGGCAGAAGGGACTTCTCTTACTCATGTCTTAATCTCTTCCTCCCCCAGACTCCACCAAAAAGGTCAGTGATGTCCTGAAGGTCTTTGGGGATGGTGATATGAGCAAATACTGCCACGGAGATGTGAGTAACCTGGGGCACCCTCTCCTCTCCTCTGCTTCTCCACTGGGGTCCCCAACTTTGGGAGATTTTTCCCAGCCCACTTCTTGCCCCCCCCCCAAGTAACCCACTGTTGATTGTTACTGCGGCCATTGCTTTAGAACAAGACTAGAGGTCCTAGTATCTCAGGAGGTGGCCCAAAAAACCATACTTCCCTACCCTGCGGACTTCCCAGAGTAACACTGCTATCACAGGCCCCAGACTCCCCAGGGTAACACACTCAATCCTATCACAGGCCATTGGGTACATGGGATTTAAGCAATTCCTGAAGCTCTATCTGGAAGTGGACGAAGTCCCCCATCACCTCTGCTGGTCTCTGTTTTGGTCCTTTCACGATGCTCAATGGGCAGAGAAGACAGAACGAGGTATGATCCATCGTGTAGGGCTGGGCCTATGGGGGAAAAGATGAAACTAGTTTGGATTTGGGCATGAGACTTGAAGCAGTCATTTACTGTGGGGAGGTCAAGAGAGAAAGAGCTAGAGGTTTGTGGGGAAAAGAAGACCAGAGTAGAGGGGGCCCTGACCTCGGATCTGTGTTTTATAGCCAATGTGATCTGTCTCAGTGATGTCTCCTGCTACTTTTCCCTCCTGGAGGGTGGCCAGCCAGAAGACAAGCTAGAGTGTGAGTTTGCCATTCTGAGCGGGGGTGGGGGGTGGGGTGGGGTTGGCGGACAGGTGAAGAGGGAGCCACCCCAGTTCCTATGTGTTATACATCCCTATGTAGGTGGTCTTGGATGTTCATGATGCATAGAAGTGTGTGCTGTCTCTATTGTATTTGCTAAGGCTGGCATGCATTGCGTCCCCCCCCCCCTTTTGTTTTATCTGTGTGTGAGAGGTTCTCACAATGGTGGATAAGCCATCCTGGTCTCTAACTCTCTATCCTGTTGTCTCAGCTCCCTGAGTCCTGGAAGGACAGGTGCACACCCTGCGCCTCCCGCTGCCCTTCTTGTTCATCTGCCCTGTCAGTTCTGCTCTTAATTTCAAGCTCCTTCCATATTTCTTTATTTCTTCTTGTTTCTGAATGCTTGGGCTGTTTTGTTTTGTTTTGTTTTGAGTTGTGTGGTGTTTTGTTTGTTTGTTTGTTTGTTTTGTTTTGAGATAAGAACTCACTGTTTGTCCCAGGCTTTCCTGGAACTCACTGTACAGACCAGAGTGGCTTTGAACTCATAGAGATCTGCCTGCCTCTACCTTTCAAGCGCTGGGATTATATATAGGCCATTCCATGCCTGGCTTTGGGATGAACTCTCTAGATCTCTCTCATAAACTGACTGAGTTCCTCCAACACTTTGCAGTCACCTTCAAGCTGTACGACAGAGACAAAAATGGGATCCTGGACAGCTCGGTGAGTTGTGGGACCTTATGTGCTGGCTCTTACACCTGGACTTCCCCAGGGTCTTCAGAAGCAGAGAAAAGGTTGAGAGTGTAGCTCAGTGGCACAGTGCTTGCCAAACCCTACACATGACCTTAGATTCATCTCCAACACTATCCCCCCCAACTGGTGGGGGGAGGGGGGAAGTGGTGTCTAGGAGATACTTAGTCTGCTAGGCCTAAATATGAAACTAGTTCCCAAGAGTTTCAACTCTAAAAGAGAAGGCTGGAGATGCGAAGCATTCAAATGTTTACTTGTCAGAGATTCTTAAGAACAAGAGGTGAGTTTGGAAGTGGCATCCAGGAGCTCTGATTTCTAGAGGTTTGAGTAGTGGGGAGAAGATAGGAAGTGACTAGCTCTGGCTTTCACCCTCTTTGCCCCAGGAAGTAGAGAAAATCATCCTTCAGATGATCCGAGTGGCTGAATATCTAGACTGGGATGTGTCTGAGCTAAGACCGGTAAGGCAGTTTGTTCCTTTTGTTCCTTTCCTAATTGCACCCTCTTCCCCGCGGTCCTGCCTCGCTCCGCTCCGCCTTGCCCCATCTCTGATGGGCTCCCGGTTCCCTCTGCTGGGATGGATGACTGTGCTGGGTGTCCTAAGAGATGGTGGAGGGGTGCCTGAGGACCACTCTCAGCAAAGGCTTCTCTGCCTCTGCTCAGATTCTTCAGGAGATGATGAGAGAGATCGACTACGATGGCAGTGGCTCTGTCTCTCTGTCAGAGTGGGTCCGGGCTGGGGCAACCACTGTGCCGTTGCTTGTGCTTCTGGGGATGGATATGACTCTGAAGGATGACGGAGCACATATGTGGAGATTGAAGAGGTTCACCTGGCCAGTCTACTGCAACCTATGCGAGTTGAGCATTGGCCTTGGAAAACAGGGCCTGAGCTGTAACAGTGAGTGATGAGAATCGGGAGTGGGGGGATGTGATGGTATGAACTCAGAGAGGAAGAGGATTCGGATTTTAGGCTCTGAGATTCACTCTCCTTGATCCTGCAAAAGCAATGCAACTTTTATTATTTGTGTGCTGTGCTCTGATTCAAACCCAAGTCTGTGTATCTTTTTCTTTTTTTAGATAGCCTTTAATATTTAAATGTGTGTGTGTGTATGTGTGTGTGTGTATGTGTGTGTGTGTGTGTATGGACAGGATCTCATATTGTAGCTCAGGCTACAATATGGACCAAACTAACCTCAAAACTCCCAACAATTGATGGCAGTAGTGGTGCACGCCTTTAAATCCAGCATTAGGAAGCCAGAGACAAGTGGATCTCTATGAGTTCAAGGCCAGCCTGGCCTATAGAGTGAGTTCCAGGACAGCCAGGGCTACACAGAGAAACCCTGCCTGGAAAAACTAAAAACCAAACCAAAACAACAAAACCTCCCAACAGTCTTTTAGCCTTAGCTGCTGCTTTCTCCTCTTCCTCTTCCTCCTCTTCTCCTTCTTCTAAGACAGTGTCTCTCAATGAAGTCCTGGCACTGCCATGTTGACCAGGCTGGCCTCAAACTCACAGAGATCCTCCTGCCTCTGCTCCCCCCATCCCCACCCCCAGTGCTGGGACTAAATGTGTGCACCACCATATCCAACTTGCCTCAGCTTCTTGAATGTTGGCATTAAAGGGCTTAGTTGTCCTGCCCAGTTTCATGCATTTTCTTTAAGCTTTAGTTCCTTTGACTGAAAAAGGTGGTAACTGTAAACAGTAAATACACTGGTACAGCTAGCCGTGGTAAACATGTGCGGGCAGCAACAGCATCCCTCAGCTGGAGGGAGGCGGGTCAGGAGTCCAGGGCCAGCTTCTGTTACAGAGGAAGCTGAAGGTCAGCCTGGACTACAAAAGACCCTGTCTCAAAACAAACAAATAGGGGCTGGAGAGACAATTCAGTGAATAAAGACCCTTGTTGCCAAAACGGATGAACTCGGTTCAGTCCCTGGAACCTACATGGAGAGACAAGAACTGACTAGAAAGTTGTCCTCTGATCTCTACGAGTACGCTGTACATTGTGACACTTGCGTACCTGGACACATAAATAAATGCAATTAATTAAGTAATTAAAGGGAGGAGACTTTATTGTTTTGCAGTATATCAAAGATTCGATTATTTTATTGAGACAAGGTTTCACTATGTAGCTTTGGGTGGCTGGGACTCTCTGAGATGTCGGTTCCAGCCTAACATAACATGGGGACAGTGTAGTGACAGATAGGAAGTAGCATTTGCATTTTTAGTACGGACGATAGACAGACGAGGTCTGTTCTTGCCAACTTTAATCCTCATCCACAACCTGGCAGCGAGGGTTGGATGCTTTATTCCAGTGGGTGGTCCTCACTCCCAAGAAAGGAGAGCAGGGGGAAAGGCCACGGTTGCGCTCTGACCTTCTCCCCTCTCCTCAGTCTGTAAGTACACTGTTCATGACCACTGTGCCATGAAGGCCCAGCCTTGCGAAGTCAGCACCTACGCCAAGTCTCGGAAGGACATTGGTGTGAGTGACCCCGTGCCTGATTCATTCCCACACTGCCAACCCCGGCCCGGCCCGGCCCCTAGCCTTTTGCTGTGCTCATTCCCTCCCAGACAAGGGCCTGCCTGCCTTTCTCCCCCAAGGTCCAGTCACATGTGTGGGTTCGAGGAGGGTGTGATTCAGGGCGTTGTGACCGCTGCCAGAAGAAGATCCGAATCTACCACAGCCTAGCAGGACTGCATTGTGTATGGTGCCACCTGGAGGTCAGTTCAGGAACTGCCCCCTCCAGCCTGAGACCCAGAGCACCCATACTTACCCCCCAAAGGCTCTCTTTCCTATCTAGACTGGAGAGAACTGATAACATCCCCTGATTTGTTCTCCTTTTGTGCTCCTAGATCCATGATGACTGTCTGCAGGCTGTGGGTCCTGAGTGTGACTGTGGGCCGCTCCGGGATCATATCCTGCCTCCGTCTTCCATCTACCCCACGGTCCTGGTAAGACCGTCAAAGGCAGCTGGGAAGGGACAGGAGTATATCCCTGCTTTCCCATGAACACGCCTCTACATAGAGAGTGCCTCTGGTTTGATGTGCGGTTTTGTTATTGCTTTGCACTATGTAATCCTGGCTAGCCTGGAACTTGCTGTATAGACCAAGCTAGCCTACCTCTGCCTCCCAAGGGTAGGTGTGAGCCACCATACCCAGCCAGAATGACAGGTCCAGCAGGACCTCTAGTGTTCAAATGAGACCCACTCATTTAACTCCTGGATAACCCCACCTTTTCTTTCCAGGTGTCCGGACAAGATCGCAAACTGAAGACCACAGTTTATATAAACCAGAGCACCACTGAGGCTCTTCGGGTACAGGGCTGAGGGACTTGGGCCTAAAGGTCATGCATGCCAGCCAGCTTTTGATTAGAACCTTCTTGGGAGGGATTGAAGTAGAAAGTAGGGGATACCTGCTCTCTGAAAAGTTCCCCACGGTAGAGGAGGCATCTCGGGAGATGACAGTCCCATGCCTCTGAAGGGCGCACCTCTATCTTTGACAAATCCCTGCTTTCTTTACCCTTATTTTCTCAGGTCAGCCCTGCGCCTAACACCCACCCACTCCTAGTCTTTGTCAACCCTAAGAGCGGAGGGAAGCAGGGGCAGAGGTGAGCAGACTCACACTGGTTCTTCCTAAAAGGAGTGGGGAAGGGAGGGCGTGCATGGGGGCCTCCTTTGGGAGGGGCGGACAGCAAGGTGGAGAATGGGTACAGAGTATCAGTCCTGTCCTTCATGCCAAGCTGCTTTTCCTTTCCTTTCACACAGGGTGCTTTGGAAGTTCCAGTATATGCTAAACCCTCGACAGGTGTTTAACCTGAAGGATGGTCCGGAGCCAGGGTGGGTATTCGTGACGGGCTACGTCACAGGGTTTGAGGTGTGTGTGGGGGGGGTGTGAGTGCGGGTGTAGGTGTGTGAGTGTGCATTCAGGTGTGTGGGGGTGTAAGTGTGGTGTGTGTGTGTGTGGTGTGTGTGTGGGGGGCATGGGTGTAGGCGTGTGAGTGTATATGTGGTGTGTGGGTTTGGGTGTGTGTGGGGTGTGTGTGGGTTTGTGTGTGTGGGTTTGGGTGTGTATGTGGGTTTGGGTGTGTGCAGGGTGTGTGTGTGGGGGATGTGTATCTGTTAGCAGACACTTACGTCCCTATGTATCTCATTACTTTGGACTTTCTGACTCTCTTGGCTCTGCTCTGAAAGGATGCAGACAGGGTAATTTACCACTGAGGGATGGCTAGCACTTTCTCCATTGTCCTTTCTCCACCCTCACTAAAATAACAGTTTTTTAATCTTAATTTTTCCCCCGTGGTAGATTTCCAGGCTACTGTTTCCCTTGCCTTTTTTTTTTTTTAACTTGTATTCTAGGGATGGAACTCAGGTCTTTGTGCCTGCTGAGAAGGCATTTTACCAACTGAACAATCTGCCAAGCTCTTTAGTTTTATTTAATTTATTATAATAATTATTATTAATTATTATCAGTGTGTGTATGTCCATGCCACAGTGCATGTATAGAGGTCACAGGACAACTTTTAATAATCAAGTTGTGTTAGCCAGCCTTTGGTGGCGAAGGTCTTTAATCCCAGCACTCAGGAGGCAGAGGCAGGCGGATCTCTGTGAGTTTGAGGCCAGCCTGGTCCGTCTACAGAGCGAGTTCCACGACAGTCTCCAAAGCCATAGAGAACCCCTGTCTCCAACAAACAAAAAAGAAGAATCAAGTTGTGAAGATTGACACCAGGTTGTTGAGCTTGCTTGGCAAGCCCCCCCCCCTTTTTTTTTTTTTTTTTTGGTTTTTCAATTCTGGGTGGGTTTCTCTGTGTAGCCCTGGCTGTTCTGGAACTCACTCTGTAGACCAGGCTGGCCTCAAACTTACAGAGTTCTGCCTGGCTCTTCCTCTCAAGTGCTGGGATCAAAGGCATGCGCCACCCATGCCCAGCTTGGCAAGCCCTTTTATGGTACTTTAAAAAGTAGTGTATGTGGGAAGGATGGGGAGGGGTGGTGTGTGTGTGTGTGTGTGTGTGTGTGTGTGTGTGTGTACGTACTTACCAGTGCCCTCATGTGCATGCATGGGGGAGAGGGCATGTTTGGGTGAATCAAGGCCAAGGAACAGCTTCAGGTGCCACCTTTAGAAATGCTGTCCTCCTTTTGAGACAAGGTCTGTCGGTGGCTCTGAGCTCACTAATTAGTCTGGACGGGTTGACCAGTAAGCTCAGAGATCCTCCAGCTCACTTCCCCGACGGGAGCACTGTAACGCATGACATTTTTATGTTGGTTCCTGTGATCAAATTCAGGTCCTGGAGCTCGCAAAGCCATCCTCTCAGCGCTAAACTGACAAGCACTATACCAGGCTTTCTCTTGGACTACCAACCAGCTCCCAAATCATAATGTGGAGACTTGTTATGAATTATGAATGCCTGACCTTAGCTTGTATAACTCAGTTCAATCTGTTTCCCTTCATCTACATTTCCCTTGGGGCTTTTTACTTTCCTTTCATTCTGTATGTCCTACTTTCACTACTTGCTGTGAGGCTGGCTGGCTGGCCCCAAGCATCTCCCTCCAGATCTCCCTCTTCCTTCTACCTTCTTCCTCCTGCCTGCCAGCCCCACCCATCTCCCTGCTGCCTAGCTTTTGGCTGTTCAGCTTTTTATTTGACCAGTCAGGTGCCTTAGGCAGGCAAGGTAAAGCAGCAACACACCTTCACATAATCAAACGCAGCACAAACAAAAGCAACGCACCTTTACATAGTTGAACAAATGCAGCACAAACCAATGTAACACACCTTTACATACTTAAAGTGATATTTCCACAACAGGAGACAGGCTCATGGGAATGAGAGTTAAGAAGTGGCGTGCCCTGCCCAGGACCTGGGCAGATTCCAGTTACCCTTTTTCTCTTCCCTTTTATCTCAGGCTCAAGTTTTTCAAAGACGTTCCTCAATTCCGGGTATTGGTGTGTGGTGGAGACGGCACAGTAGGCTGGATTCTAGAAAGCATTGGTCAGTGCAGGAAGAGGGTCCCTCCGGGCAAGGGATGGAGGGAGTAGTGTTCCAGCACAAGCTCTCCATCCTTCTCTTCACCTGCCTCCTCAGACAAAGCCAACTTGCCTGTTGTGCCTCCTGTTGCTGTGTTGCCCCTGGGCACTGGAAATGATCTGGCTCGTTGCCTAAGATGGGGGAGAGGTAAGTGGTGAAGAGAACTTTTGCTGGAGCACGGGGGAGCTTTAAGAGAAAGACAACAGGGCTGGAGAGACGGCTCAGCGGTAAAGAGCACTGACTGCTCTTCCAGAGGACCTGGGCACCCTTCCCAGCACCCACATGGCATCTCACAAGCTTCTGTAACCCCAGTCCTAGACAATCTGACACCGTCCCCTGGGGTACTGCGTGTACACGGTGCACAGTCTTCCAGGCAGGCAAAAATCTGCTGTAAAGAGGAGGTTGGGGAAGAAGAGAGGCACGCATAGATGGGAACCAGAGTGGCCACTGAGAAGGATGACATTGTGAACCAAGGAGAGTTGAGGGTGACAGTCCCCTTCCCTGATAACCCCAAGATCTACATCACTCTCTTACAAACAACTCTAGGGCTTGGAGGATAATGGAACATGGTAGGGTAATGAGGAACAATGTAGGGATGAGGAAAGTTGTGTAAAATAGCCGAATGAGCGAGCTAGCAAGGTCCATCCATTCATTCATCCAGTGTCCATTTATTCACTTGTTTCTTTTTCTAATTGTCAAAACTGTCACATGATGCGTATGTGCTTGTGCCAGGGTGTGAGTGTGGATGTCAGAGGACAACTTCCCACCCCCTTCTCTCTCTCCCCCCCCCACCCCAAGGTCTCTCTATGTAGCCCTGGCTGCCCTGAAACTCTCTCTGTGGGTCAGGCTGGCCTCGGCCTTGAACTCACCAGAGGGCAGTTTTCAAGTTTTGGGAGTCAGTTCTCTTGTACCGCATGGGTCCCTTGGATTGATGTCAGGCTTGGCCACAAGCACCTTCACCGCCGAGGGAACTTTCCTCCTAATACATTACATTTCTTTGTTTTGTTTTGTTTGTTTGTTTGGTTTGGTTTTCCAGACAGGGTTTCTCTGTGTAGCCCTGCCTTTCCTGGAACTCGCTCTGTAGACCAGGCTGGCCTTGAATTCATTGAGGTCCGCCTACCTCTGCCTCCCGAGTGCTGGGATGTGCCTGTTGTTACAATGGAAATGTAGAAGGAAGACTATTTCCAGAAATAAAGGTCCAGTTTGGTGCATTTGCTAAGGTATCAGTGAGTCACCCAAATGAAGAAGGGTGGCTCACACTAATAATCTGGGAGGCTGAAGCAAAAGGATTGCCCTGAGTTCCAGGCCAACCTGGGCTACATAGAGAGTTCCAGGTTGGCCTGGGCTAGAGTGAGATCCTGTAACAACATTGCTGGGTGTGTGTATGCATGTATGTGGGCATGACTGTGCCACAAAGGTCATATGGAAGTCAGAGGAAAACTTGCAGGAGTCTGTTCACTACACTAAGTGAGTGAATTTAATCCTAAGGATTAAATTCAGGTCATCAGGCTTGACAGCAAGCCCCTTTATCTGCTAAACCAGCTCACTGGCCCATTGTTTGGGTTTTTGAGACAGGATCTCACTACCCTCACTATGTAGCCCAGGCTGTGTGGCTCACTGTGTAGCACAGACAGGCCTTAAACCTGAGGCAGTTCGTTTTCCTGTGTCAGCCTATAGGATCATAGGCTTGTCCTACCAAACTTGGCCCTTGCCTCCATGCACAGATAATCAGGATTGTTATTGTTTTAGGACCATCCAGATAACCCAGGATAATCGCCCATTCAAGATCCCTATTGTAGTAATCACATCTGCAAAATCTCTTACCATGAAAGGAAGGTTCTTTAGTATTGATATCTCTTCTTCTGTGTTACTTTTGTGTTAAGGGCTTCAGTGCACTGATCCATAAATTTGTGTGGTCTTTGATTTTGTTTTTGGATTAAACTTCGGACCCCACACAACGCTAGGCAAACACTGGGCTGTGCCCCGAGCTTTTTTTTTTTTTTTTTTTTTTTCCCTGTTCTTTAAATGTTTATTTTATGTGCATTGGTGTTTTGCCTGTGAGTGTCTGTGTGAGGGTATCGAATCCTCTGAAGTTCGGGTCACAGACAGTTGTGAGCTGCCATATGGGTGCTGGGAATTGAATTTGGGTCCTCTTGAAGAGCTGCCAGTGCTATTAACAGCTGAGCCATTATCTCTCCAGCCCTGCCCCAAGATTTTAAAGCATTTTTTTTCTTTAATGCTGGAAAATGTAATCTGTTGCAGGTGATTTTTTTCCCCCAGTTTGTTAATTTTTTTTAATTAATTAATTAATTAATTAATTAATTTTTTTAGTTCTCTATTTTACAATGCTGGGGATGGAACACAGGTTCTTGCACACGGCAGACACATGCTCTGCTATGGAAGTATACCTTCTGTCCCTTGTCCCTTGCTGTTCTTGTGTTTATTTAACCAAATAGAAAATTTAAAGTTATTGCCAGGAGGTGGTGGCACACACCTTTAATCCCAGCACTCAGGAGGCTGAGACAGTGAGATCTCTGAGTTCAAGGCCAGCCTGGTCCAGAGTGAGTTCCAGGAGAGCCAAGGCTACACAGAGAAACCCTGCCCCCACCCCCCAAAAAAGCAAAAATAGCAAACTTATTTTCGTTGTTGTTTTTGTTATTGTTTGTCCCAGACAGGGTCTTCTATATAGCCCTGGCTGTCATGAAACTCACTCTATAGACAGACCAGGCTGGCCTCAAGCTCAGAGATCCACCTATTTCTGCCTCCCAAGTACTGGAATTAAAGGTGTGGGCCACCACTGCCTGACTGTGCTTTTTTGTGTTTTGAGGAAACATGTCATTGTGCAGCACAGGCTGGCTTTGAACTCCTATGTAGCATAGGGTGGTGTTAAATGTTCAGTAATTCTCCTTCAGCCTCCCACGTGCTAGGATTGTAGACATGAGCCACCACAACTTGCTGTCACTCATCTTTGCCAGCATTTTCCTGGTTTGCCTCTCACTATTAAAGACGTATTTGGAATAATGTCTATATATGGCCACACATTTGGGAATGTTTATTTTCCATAACAGGGTGGTAGAGGCAGCAAGAGGCTGATGTTGGTTCACGGAGCGTGGGCACCTTGCTCTTTCACTGGCAAAAGGCTGGGGTGGGGGCTCGTACAGAGCAGAGGCAAAGGGTCCTTGGGGACCTGTGCAGACGGGCTCAGAGTGGGCTCTCCGAGGCACAGGCGGGGATCGGGGCAAGCTTGTCTTTCCCATCCCTAGGTTATCAAGGTGAGAATTTGGGAAAGATTCTCAAGGACATAGAGATAAGTAAGGTGGTGTATCTCGATCGATGGTCCCTGGAAGTGATCCCCCAAGAAAATAAAGAGAAGAGTGATCCGGTCCCCTCTCAAATCATCAATAACTACTTCTCCATCGGCGTGGTCAGTGGAGTAGGGTGGGGGATAAGGGAGAAGCGTGGGCAAAGCAGCTGGAGATGAGAAAGGAGGAGACACAGGGGAACGGGGAGCTGGGCGCGTAGTGATACGGGCTGCAAAGAGATCTCGGGGCATGCTGTACTCCGTAAGGGGGAGGGAAGCAGAAGAGGAGGGGATGATGGGCAAAGAAAGGGAGAGCAAAGGGAAAGAGAACTGAGTAGAGAAAGAGCTCTGGAGAGGGAAGAGTCCGGTCTCTAAGATATGCTCGTCACTCCCCAGGATGCGTCCATTGCTCACCAGTTCCATGTTATGCGAGAGAAGTACCCTGAGAAGTTCAACAGCCGGTGAGGAAGACAAGAGGGAGAAGGGCGGCTCAGTGGGTATCTCCACCTAAGCGCCATGACCGGAGTTTGGTTCTTGGAACCCTCGTGGTGGAAAGAGGACCTAACCCCCTCAGGGTTACCATCTGGCCTCCCTGTGCTTGAATGAGCGCACACACAAAATGAATAAGATATTTTGGGGAGGGGGTGGAATGGACACTCAGTGTCAAGACTGGATTTATGTCAGGTGTAGTGGTGCACACCTTTAACCCCAGCCCCAGCACTCAGGAGGCAGAGGCAGGCGGATCTCTGAGTTTTCAAGGCCAGCCTGGTCTACAAAATGACTTCCTGGCCAGCCAGGACTAAACAGAAAAATCCTGTCTCTAAGGACTTGATTTGTGACCAAATTTATCACCAAATGGTTAGATATTGGCGGAAACCCCGGCTAGGAAACCCCTAACCAAAGCTACTACTGTCCCCTTGGAGTTGGGAAGTTGGCGCCTTTTCTTGTTGGTGTCAGCACTGTGTAACTTGTCTCTTCCCTTCTGGCCTTTTGTTGGGGTTGATGCAGAATGAAAAACAAGCTATGGTACTTGGAATTTGCCACATCTGAATCCATCTTCTCAACATGTAAAAAGCTGGAAGAGTCTTTGACAGTTGAGGTGTGTATGGTAATACCAATTGAACCCACATCTTTTTTTTCTCTCTCTCTTGCATACTTATTAATCCCAGCAAGAGCAGCCACATTTCACACCAATGCTATAAGGGTGAGAATCTCCATCCTCTCTAGTTGTAGTTCTGTCCCTCTCCCCTCAGATCTGTGGGAAGCCGCTGGACCTCAGTGACCTGTCCCTTGAAGGCATTGCAGTAATGAATATCCCGAGTACGCACGGTGGTTCCAACCTCTGGGGTGACACCAGGAGACTTCATGGAGATACCTGTTCTATCAACCAGGCATTAGGCAGTATGGCCAAAATAATCACAGACCCCGATATCCTGAAAACCTGTGTGCCAGGTGAGACCAACACCCCTCAGAGGTAAAGTTGTCAGACCCGAGGGCATGGCGCGACTTCCTATAGGAGAACCTGCTTCTGTCTGCTTTTAACCCCCAGACGTGAGTGACAAGCGGCTGGAAGTGGTGGGAATAGAGGGTGTGATTGAGATGGGCCAGATCTACACCCGGCTCAAGAATGCTGGACACCGGCTGGCCAAGTGCTCTGAGATTACATTCCGGTGAGGAGGACCCGGGCCAGGGCTCCTGAGGAGAGGAAGGTGGTGGGTGGTGCACGGGAATGGGGGGAACCACCTTAGGTCTTTCACCACGACAGAAGACGGTCTCAAAGCCAACCTGAGGAAGCCAGACTTTTAATGTTTTGGTTGGTAAGAAAATGTCAACCAATCTTTCTTGACCTCCCACAGGACCACAAAAACCCTTCCCATGCAGATTGATGGAGAGCCCTGGATGCAGGCGCCCTGTACCGTGAGTATCACCTAGCCCTGCAGAAGCTGGACCCTTTGACTCTGTGGAACCTAAGCCTCCATTCTACAGCATCTTCTCTTCCTCCTGGTGCCCTAGGTTCCTCTGTGCACAGCTCTTCCCAAGCTCTGGTTTCTCAGTACCCCGACAACTCACCCCAGAACTCTAATGTCCCAGCCCTAAGGCGCCAGGACAGGCTTCCAAGTATATTTCCTTCCCTTTCAGATCAAGATCACCCATAAGAACCAGATGCCTATGCTTATGGGCCCAGCCCCCAACACCTACAATTTCTTCGGATTTTGGAGCTGAGGGTACCCAATGCCCTGAGCCCACATCCCTGTCCCTGGAGATGTCCCTCGGTGCTCTGTATATTGCTGCCCCACCTTCCTGTCAGCCCAGAAGGATGTTTCATCATCTTCACAGTATTTATTACCCTGTGCCTCCTCACTTTTCACACGCACACACACACAACCAAAAACACACAACATTGATAGTGCCTCCACATGATAAAGTACCCTTTTCCATTATTGGGATGTCTGATAAATGAATAACACTCTTTTTTATACCTTCACCCCTCTAGAGACAGATTCAAGAGCAAACAAAACAGCGAAAAACCCTAGAGCAAGGTTCTGAGAATTTATTTCCAGTACTGGTAGCCTTGAAGGGAAGGTTGCAGGGATGCAGGCATTGCTGTTAACCCCAGGAAACGCACAGTGTCGTGAGGTTACTCAGACCTGCTGTCCACTTAGGAGCGGGCTGTTTTCGCCAGTGTGGCAAGTGCGGAAGACTGGGGGCAGGCGCAGCCAGTGGGTGCTACCGTGTGCCATTTGGGAAACAGGATGAACTGAGCCCTGCTTCCTAAGCCTGCGCCTGGTATGGAGAGAAGGGAAAGTGGTCAGCAATGGCAGCCTGCAAATCCTACATCCCATGTTGACTTGGCCAGGACCGTAGCTCACTTTCTCTCCATGCTTCCTCCCCCTACCTAGTGTTCTCCACCTTGAAGTCCTCAGCACCTCTAGCCACTGGGGGTATCTGACCCTTCCCCTTTTTTGAGACAGCATCTTACTTATGTAGCCCTGGCTGTCCTGGAACTCGCTCTGTAGACCAGGCTAGCATCAAATTCACAGAGATCTGCCTGCTTCTGCCTCCCATGCTAAAACTAAAGGCTGCGCCACCACACCCTGCTGAGTCTACCTTTCTCATAGGTGAATAGCTTGCTTCACCCAACTTTCCTATTCTCTCTCTAATTGCTCGCTTTTATTTACTTATGGGGGGATGTGGTGTGTGCCAGAGGGAAGTTTGGGGGAATTTGTTCTCTCCTGTCCTGTGGGCATCAGCCTTGTGGGCAAGTGCTTCCCTCTGAGCCAAATCGCTGACCTCTAAACCACTCTTAATATTTATAGCATCGTCTGCTGGGCGTTGGTGACCCATGCCTTTAATCCTAGTACTTGGGAGGCAGAGGCAGGTGGATCTCTGAGTTCGAGGCCAGCCTGGTCTACAGAGCAGGTTCCAGGACAGGCTCCAAAACAATACAGAGAAACTATCTGGAAAAACCAAAAAAACAAAACAAAACAAAACAAACAAACAAACAAAAAACCCAAAACTTTACAGCATCAATTACTTTCACACTCCACCCCAGGAGGCTTGCCCACATAGCTTCTAATACTAGTAACTCTCAGAAATGTAAAGCTTCTTCCCAAAGGTACCACAAGAAGACTGTAGCCAAGGCCTATCTGATAACCCCACCTGGGCTCTCCTGGACACGGAAGGGGTGGCGGTTCTTCTGGCACCCTGAAGGGAGAATGGTGGGCGGTAACAATGGATGAGGATCAGGTTGGCGAGGTTCTTACCTGTATGTCAGAGATGCAAGGACCACAGCCAGCAACACCAGTAACACACCTGCTGCAAGCAAGGGAGCCTGCCCAAGGCCGCCTTCTTGGCCTGTAAGCAGAATCCCAGAAACTGCTTCAGTGTCCACTCCCTCCCAGCTGTCGGCTTGGCCACTCCCTTTCTCCTAGTTCTTAAGTACCTACCAGGAACAACAATTTGGGTGCTGGCCACTGCCAGGCTGTTGGCATCAGTCAAAGACACATTGAGGCAATAGATCCCCGAGCCACCTTTCAGGGCTTGGTGTAGGACCAGCTGGCAGTCTGGGCTTGGTGGCACAGGCTGGCACAGCCTCTGCGCAGGGGGCTGGCACCCTGGTGATGAAATGTCCATACAGGCTTCCTTGGGTAGCCTGAAAGAGTATTAGTTTGCATCAAGAGATCGGGGAAAGGGCAGAACAACAGAAGGAATGAGAGTCACTCAAAAGAGTGAACAGGGCGACCAGCAGGACACTCACCCGCCTTGGCAGGACACGGTCAGCTCAAGCGCATCACCCTTACTGGATGTCACAGCCTGCAGGATCTCAGCATTTTCAATACCCTCTGTGAGGTTGCAACTGCGTAAGTTAGCGTTCCTCTACCAAGAGGACACACAAGAAAGCCCAAAGGATGCTCTCCCAATACTATCTCTGCCATTAGGGTATTCTCAAGTAATTTCTCCCAAGTTAGGCTACTACTGGTCAGCCCTGGCAGCTTATACCTCCCTTCCTCGGTTCCCATCAGAGGCAAGACTCACGGACAATGTCCAGGGTGAGGGAAAAAGAGCCATAGCGATACACAACACAATCCAAAGGGACTTGTCTCTTCACAAGCATTAAGGTGTCTGTACTATCCAGGAGAGGGGTGATGGATCCTGGCAGGAGAAGATGTGAGGGGGCAAAGTCAAGAGACATAACTAACTCTTTTAGAGACAGAGACCAAGCAGGCACTGCCCCAAGTACAGCCAAGGCTACAGTCTCCTAGAATGACTGGCTTCCAATCAGCCAAGATCTGGCAGGCCTCGTTTTATATATAAGGAAGCTATGAATGCTGTTTTGTTTTGTTTTGTTTTGTTTTTCCCACATAGTCAAGGAAAGAGAACACACAATCCAGGGTCAGAGAAATGCCTTAGTGGTTTTATTTGTTTCTGTTTTATTTTTTTCTGTTTTGTTTTTTGAGACAGGGTTTCTCTGTGGCTTTAAAAGCTGTCCTGGAACTAGCTCTTGTAGACCAGGCTGGCCTCAAACTCACAGAGATAGATCCTCCTGCCTCTACCTCCCGAATGCTGGGACACTAAAGGCGTGCACCACCAACACCTGGCTTATAGCTTACTTTTTTGTTTGTTTTTTGTTTTGGTCTTTTTTTTTTTTTTTTTTTTTTTGAGACAGGGTTTCTCTGTAGTTTGGGAGCCTGGAACTCTGTAGACCAGGCTGGTCTTGAACTCACAGAGATCTACCTGCCTCTAAGCGCTGGAATTAAAGGTGTGTGCCACCATCACCTGACCTCAGTAGTTTAAAGTACTGGTTACTCTTGTAGAGAAACCGGTTTGATTGTCAGCACATATATAATGGCTTACAACCATCTGTAACTCCTCATCCAGGAAAAGGGATCCAATACCTGCACCAGATACACAAATGATACATGTAAAAGCAGGCAAAACACCATACATTTTTTTCCCAGGTGCTTCAAGACAGTTTCTCTGTATTGCTTTGCAGCCTGTCCTGGAACTAGCTCTGTAGACCAGGCTGGCCTCGAACTCACAGAGACCCGCCTGCCTCTGTCTCCCAAGTGCTGGGATTAAAGGCATGCTCCACCAACACCCAGCTACTAATTGTGGATATCAGAACCTGAAGCAATATCTGCATTTATGCTTGAACAGAACATGTGATCAAGCTTTCTAAGTGCCCATAGGCTGTTTTCTTGGCTTCCTAGCTGTTATCCTTGGAGGGAAAAAACAAAACAAAAAACAGTTCATCCTTGTGGCTGGGGGAAAACTCATTTCCTGAACTTTACATCTCTTCCATATGGTTGAGACACTCTGGAGACTTAAAAGCTAGTGAGAATTCCAAGGCGGCTCACAACGCTACAGAAAGGACTCATTAGTGTCCGAATCCTGGGTTAAGACTTCAAAGTAGAGAAGTGATGAATAACCCATCTCCAAGAACCTCATTCATATGTTCTTACCTGTAGAACTTTGTGTAGGCTGAGATGTGCTGGCATTTGGACCCTTGGGTTCAGGAGTTGGTAACTCTCCAGTGGTATTTTCTACCAACTCTGTGGTTCCGGTGGGCCTTGTGGGTGTGGTACCTCCACCCTCTACAGTTGACATCTCTGCCAGTGTGGTATCTAGGACCGCTGAGGTCAGCAGCTGCTCGGAGGTAGTAGTAGTAGTTATGCCTTCTGTGGTTGGCATTTGTATAGCTGTGGTTCCAGAGGGCTCTGCAGTTGGCATCTGGCCAGCTGTAGTACCCACAACTTCTGTAGTGGTCCTTTGTCTAGATGTGGTTCCAGGTGCGTCTGCAGTTGGCATGTAGCCATCTGTGGTACCAGGGACTGGGGAGGAACCACAGGGACCAAGGGGAATGGCAGCCTGCAGTACCACCTGGGCAGTGACTGAGCTGGACTCCAGATACGTGTGAGTGACCTCGACTGCCCGAGAGATCAGGGTCCCAGTGTTGTCTCCGAAGTCCCATGTGTAGGAGAGGTCAGCCTCAACCAAATAGCCGCTGGGATCGTGGAGATGGAGGGCAAAGATGAGAGGCTGATTTCTCAGGAAGCGCTTGTTTCCTCCATCCAAGGCCTGCAGCTGGGACACACTCACTGAGAAGGGGACCTGGTCTGGGGTTGGAACCAGAAAAAACAAGAAACAGGCGGAGTCACATCTCTTCTTCACACACAAGCTGACCAGCCAGGTCGTTCGTTATTCCTCTCCTGTTCCTCTGCCCAGGTCTTTCTGGCCCTCCCCTTTGAAGGTTGGAGGTGACTTCCTCTTTCTCGGCCAAGCCAGCCTCCCCACCTCACGCCCTCTGCCTTCCTGGTCTTGTTCCTCTTACCGGTGATGGTGAAGGCTGAACTGGAATGGGCAAGGGGCACGTAGCTCTGGGCACCCCGTCTGTGGTAGACAGTCACTTCCATGGTGTGTGTGCCCAGCCTCTGGTGGCCTGTTGCAATGCTCAGCCTGGACACCGGGCCCCCCAGAACCTGCCAGTATTGTCCTGAGAGGAGAGACAACTGGCTAAAGAGAACTGAGAGGTAGAGTTTGAAAAGGGAGGCTGAGGATTTCCTCCAGGTGTTTGGGATGGTGGGTTCCTTGGTAGGGACTACATTGGGGAGGGGCTGCTGGGAGACCTCACCCCAGGTCTTCCAAACATAGACAAAGCTTCTTCTGGGAGGCTGAGGACCAGACGGGCAGGGTCCACCGTCAGGGAAGATGCAGGCATCATCAGGTTCCTGTGGATACACTGACTGTCCTCCCCACACCTGGCTCCCTGGAAGGTAGGTAAGAGTCAACCTCAAGCCCAACATTCTTTTGTTCCTAGTAGGTGGGACTATAAAAGAGTACTCCTTAGCTGGAGCTACAGTCTTCTTCCTATAGCACAGATGGGATGGTAATTGGAGAGAGGGGGATGTATGGGAGCCACAGCTTGAGATTCATATGGGTATAGAACATAAATGAAAAGACTGGCTTTCCACAGAATAAAATGTTTACAATGACTCGTGAGATTAAGAGCAGTAGCAGCCGCAAACGTTAAATATTTACTGTAGGCCCAGGCAACTCTGCTGAGTACTTTATATAGATGAGCCTTCTTCTTTGTAATACTCTGTCAAGGTACTCACTTCATAGGCAGGAATACAAGCACGCAGCAACTTACCTGTCCAGGGTCACATCTAGCAGTGGATTTACATCTAAGCCGGTGCAACTTCAGGAATCTGCTATTCTCCAATTTGGAAACTATAATTTTGTCTGCATTTTCTAATTTTAGTGCAATAAGTATCTATTACATTTTATATATTTAACCATATATACTGACTGTGATGAGTATGAACATAATCTTTTAAAGCGTCTCGAGGGAATAAAAGGACAAACATGCGTGAGGCCCTAGGTTTGAATGCAGCACTGTTAAAAAAGTAAAGGAGGAGCCAGGTGGTGGTGGCATACGCCTTTAATCCCAGCACTCAGGAGGCAAAGACAAGCTGATCTCTGTTAGTGAGAGGCTACTCTGGTATACAAAGCGAGTGCCAGGGCAGCCAGGGCTACACAGAGAAACCCTGTCTCAAATAAATAAATGGAAGAGAAGGAAGTAGCGGGTTTTCCCTGGGTTTAATGGAGATACCTGGCAATTGGGAACCAGAGCCCAAGGAAAAAGGTACAGGAGGTACCGAGGGAGAGGTACTTACCATTGACAATGGTGTTGTTGGTCCAGATAACCTGCCCATCTGGCAGTACCTTTTGGCTTTCAGGGAAGTGCAGGGAAATGGAAAAGGAAGCATTTGCACCAACTAGTGTAGGTCCATCATTTCTGACCTTCAGAGACACCTGGCCTCCTGGGAAGGAAAGCTGCATTAGCTAGGACTCTGGCTTCTCCTCTCCAAATCTGTCTGCCAACCTGCTTCAATGTAACCTAATTCTTACTCTCCTCCTATCTCATTCCCACAATGCCTTTCCCCAGAATATCCAAATCCTACCTCTCCAGCAGTCAGGCCTCTGCACCTCTGTCCACTCAGGATATAGCTGCCTGTCCCAGGCCTTAGTTTCAAGTTGCTGTGGGACACCAAGCCAGTCCTGGTTCCTGGATCCTAAAAGGAACGTGCCATAAGATGCTAAGAGCCTTAGTCCCTTCTCAGAGGACAGTGCTATGTCCCATGTCACCTCATTGTTACATTCAAAGTGCAATGTATTTATTTTGGTGGTATGGAGGGCAACTGAAACTGAGCATAGGTCCTAACCCTGTAAGCATTCTACCACTGATCGGTAAAACTGAGCATAGGTCCTAACCCTGTAAGCTTTCTACCACTGATCCGTAGTCTCAACCCTCTTCTTACTTTTCCTTAAATGCTTTTATTAAACATTTTAGCTGGGTGTAGTGATGCATACACTTAATCCCAGCATTCGGGAGGCAGAGGCAGGTGGATTTCTGTAAGTTTGAGGTTAACCTGGCCTACAGAATGAGTTCCAGGACAACCAGGGATACACAGAGAGACTCTGTCTCAAAAAACCACAGAAACAATTTTGTTTTTGTTTTTTTGAAACAGGGCTGGGATCAAAGGCATGCACCACTGTACCAGGCAAGAAACAAACAAACAAAAAATTGTGTTTGGTTTTTGAGAAGAGGCTTCTCTTCCTGGCTGCCCTGGAACTCTTTGTAGACCAGGCTGTCCTTGAACTCACAGTGATTCACCTGCCTCTGCCTTTTGAGTGCTGGGATTAAAGGCCTGCTACTATGCCAAGCCCAGAAATTAATTTAGAAAGGCCACTGTGGCATCAGAACAAGGTGGCTCACAAATGTAATCTCAATCAGTACTCAGGAATCTTTTTGGCCAAAGACTCAACATGAGGTTGAGGCCAGTATGAACTACATAATGAGTTCCCCACCAGACTAGCCCGGTCTACACAACATTGTCTCAAAAGAAAAAAAGGAGGAAGAGGAAAAAGAAGGAAGAAGAGGAAACAGAAGACCACTATGGCAAGAAGGAGGAATGAGTAGACAGGTTGGAGGTGTGAACAAAGCAGACATAATTATTATAATTGAACTGGGTGTAGTGTCTCATGTCTGTAACCTCAACACTCAGAAGACAGAAGCAGGAAGATCACTGCAAAGTTGGTGGTCAGCCTGGTCTACATAGCAAGTACCAGGCAAACTAGGGTTACACTAAAACATTTATCTGACAAGAGAAGAAAGGACTATAATGGGCTTCCATATCCCTTCACTCAAATCCAATAGCAATGTTACAGTCTGACACATTTGCTGTTTTGTCTAAAATATGTATTCAGAAGAAAATCTCAGGCAAGCGAGATGGGTAAAGATGTTTTCTGCCTAGCCTGACAACCTGAGTTTAGCCCCCGGACTCACACGGTGGAAAACAATGATGAAGTCAGTGTTCATAATGTAAGCACAGTATCTTAAGAGCCTCCGATGTGTGGGCATGAACCGAACGAACATTTCCAAAATACATTAAGGAACTTAGCAAAAGAAAAAAAAAAAAAAAAAAAAAAAAAAAAACTGGTAGCACATAACACACACCTGTCTGTGATCCCAGCACCTAGGAAGTAGAAGCAAAGGATCTACTACATAGTGAGTTCGAGGCCAGTCCAAGATACAAGAGACCCCATCTCAGGAAAGGAATGAAGAAACAAAAAAGCAAAACAAAACCCCTGCAAACTGCAGTTGTAAATGAAGAAGCCAGAGTAAGGAACTTTCTAGAAGTTTGTGAGGCCAGGGATTCAGAGAGAGAAAAGGAGGCTGTGATATGAGGTATGTACTGTAGGACAGCAGAAAAGGTCCTTATCCCGATTCTAACATCCACGGGGAGGCCAGATTTGGGTAGGGGTTAGTCTGTAGTCATCTCAGAGAGCTTCAACCACTGAAGCAAGAGCAGTCATGAGATGCATCATTCTTTTCTAACGGCCACACTCCCTCCCCTGCAGCACGGGACATTCCAGACCCTCTTGCCACCCTTCACTCCCTCCCCTTGCTCCTGTCACGAGGCCTCAATCCCCCAGAGTCCTTTCATGTGATGCTCAGCTGAGACCCTTCTGCTTGTCTCTGCCACCCCTGGGATGTAAGGCCTGGGCTATAGTCATCCATACCCACCCCAAGTGCAGAATTCTGGTGGCATCAGCTTGGTCTTACTGAATAGCATATTCTCTTTCTTTCCACTTTAAATCTCCTATCACAAGCGTTTCAGATACCACCTACTTCATTTTACCTCCTTGGAAGCCCTTTCAGCATCTGCCTGAGGAGGCCTCAGAGTTACTGCTGTGCCTTCTGACCCTTGAGTCAGCTAGGAATACTTCTCATCCAAAATTTCACATGTAAACCTGGGCACAACGGTTTATGACAGGAATCCCAGTACTTAGGAGGTAGAAGCACGAGGATCAGGGGTTCAAGGCCATCCTTGTCTTGAACAAATGAAGGCAAATAAAACTTAGTCCTCACTAAATCAAATAGGACAAGCCTGAGATATTTCTACATGTCTGGTTAGAAGGGGGAAACCCAGAGCAGGTGGCCCTTGCTCCTGACAGCACAGGCACACTCACCTTCTACGGCCCCCACAGCCAGCAAAGCACTCAGCACAAACAGAGGGAGAGGCCACTTGGTCCGCACATCCATTCTGCTCTTCCTTTAGGCAGCCAAAGGTGCCAGGGGGGTGGGAATGAGCCCCTAAATAGGAAGGGGTGCTCATTTGCATAGCCCTTCCTCCTGCCGCTCTAGAGGTGGGGAAACCTGGGAAGGAGAGGGTCACAACTGATTTCAGCCCTTGGACGTTCTTTTTCTTAGCTCACTGCTCAATGACAGCTTCCAGTTTCGCTGGGGTCACATTCATCCTGACACACACTATCGTTCTGGAAAGAGTTGAGTGATGGGCAGTCACAACTCACGTACTTGACAATCGCTTCAGCGACAATGAAGCCATGAATTAAGTCAAACCGAACATCCTCAAGACAGACAAAAGCACCTTCACCTAAAAGCAGTCCAAAGGGGCAGAGTATAGATTGCCAGCAAAGAAGCAAGAAAACCAACCAATGAACCACTAAAACAGTGAGACAGGATTAAGCTGGGCTGAGAAAGGACTTTGTTATCTGGCCTAAGAATCCTTTACAATAAGAGCCCTGATCTTGTTCCCCTTACTACTCCACACAGAGGCAATGCCAGACGACCTCTGCGAGTTCGAAGCCAACCTGAATTTTCTTTCTTTATTTCTTTCTTTCTTTCTTTCTTTCTTTTTTTTTTTTTTTTAATGCTTTCCAGCCGGCCACACTGCAACGAGATACTGTCTCAAAAAAAAAGGGGTGTGGGAGTGCTGGAGAGACCGCTCATGAGTTAAGAGCCTATGCTGCTCTTGCAGAAGATCAAAGTCGGGGCTCCAGCGCCCAAGTCTGACAGCTCGCAACCGCCTATAACTTCAGCTCCAGACGATCTGCTGCTTCTGTGAAAACCTACTCATACACATAATTAAAAATTATATATTTGTATATATATTAAAGATTCCCAGGTTTCTGCTTTCCAAAGGAGGCTCTCTTGGCCAGGTGGAATTTAATCTCACTTAAGGGGTGGTGAAAACCGTGAGCGAAAAGGTGAGGAAACCCTTAGACCACAGACAACACGAGTTCCGGCCGGCGGAGTCCAAACCAGGAACTGGAGGAAAGTTGCGCTGCGGCCCCTCCGCTTGCTCGCCCGCCCGGGGCGGGGACTCGGCGGCGGGAGCGCGGGGGTCCGGCCCGCCCTCGTGACGTCGACCAATCCGAAGGCTGCAAGGCGGAGCCAGGGAAACGCGGGAAGGAGGGGCGGGGCCTCGGCTGGCCGTCTGGAGCGGTGGGGGAGGCGGCAACATTGTTTCAAGTTGGACAAATTGTCAAGGTCTGAGCTTTGCTTGCGTTCCATCCCGAGCTGGGGCTGCCGTGCTCACCTTGGCCCCCAGGTCCTGCGCCCCCGAGTGTCGGGCCGGTTTTCTTCAGGGTTCCCGGGCCCCGCTCCCGGGGGGCCTGAGCCGCCGCACTAGCGCTCCATGGAGAACTTCCAAAAGGTGGAGAAGATCGGAGAGGGCACGTACGGAGTGGTGTACAAAGCCAAAAACAAGTTGACGGGAGAAGTGGTGGCGCTTAAGAAAATCCGGCTCGACACGTGAGTGGCCTCTGGAGCCGGAACTCCTTCCCCGGGTCCTCCCGACTGTCCCCCGCCCCCAACCCCCTACCCCAACAGGCGGGTAGCCGACCCGGACCGGAAGGTAGCGAGGAGGGGACTCCTGAAATCAGGGGTGGGTTGGCGGACGGTGGACTCCCTCGGAGGAGGAGACTGTCGAGGGCTGGAGTTCAGAGAAAACTTTGTTCTGGTGCTCCACCCGGTGAGCTCCCAAATGTGCAAGCCAGGAGACTTGGGAAGAGAAAGTGGGGGTGGGTGGGGTGGGGGCCGAGGTAGGGCCCAGCCAGGAGTGTTCATAGAGTTGGGTTATGTGGGAACCAGGAGAATAGTTCTTTCTGAATGGAGAGCTCTCCCCGCTGCTCCAGCCCCATACTTAGAACCCTCACTCTCTTTCAAAAGAATGGCAGTTGAGACTCACTGGCCCTCTGGGGAGGCTGGGAGCTACTCTAACCCCCGTCCCCTATTACCTTTCCTCTGCTTCACATTCACCTGGAGGCTCTACTTACCTTCCACTGGGAAAAGAGGAAATAATGACCTTAAATATGTATAAAAGCCACACCCCGATTACCCAGGAATTAACTCCTGACAGTACCTTTCCTTTCTGACTTCTTCAGGGCTTTTTTTTTTTTTTTTGGGGGGGGGGGTGGCATCTCCCCGAGAGATTACGTTTGTAACCATATCCTCATCTGTGTTTTCTCAACCTCTCCAAGTGAGACTGAAGGTGTGCCCAGTACTGCCATCCGAGAGATCTCTCTGCTTAAGGAACTTAACCACCCTAATATTGTCAAGTAAGTGTAGCCTGAGAGATGACCACCGAGGTGAATTTCGTTTGTTTAGCCTCAGAATAGTTCTCTCCCTCAACTCCATTTCCTGAACCTTCTCTTGCAGGCTGCTGGATGTCATCCACACGGAAAATAAGCTTTACCTGGTTTTCGAATTTCTGCACCAGGACCTCAAGAAATTTATGGACGCCTCTGCTGTCACTGGTATCCCCCTTCCCCTCATCAAGGTAACCCTCCCCAGTCCCAGCCCACAAATCTCGGGGAAATAGAGGCAGGTAATTCAGATTGGTAGTATTTTGGCTTGTTTTTCAGACCTCAACACTCCCTGCACTCCTGATTACTTATGTCGCTTTTCTTGTTCATTATAGTCGTTAACCATAGGATGGACCGAAGAATCATAACTGAGCTCCTGGGAGCCAACCTAGGCAGCTCAGATACCACTCAGATAATGGGATTGAGGGCAGTTGGTAGGTTCCTCAAAAAAATAAAAAAGTTCCACCTGTGATGTGGGAGAAATAACCAGCGCTGTATTCACTCCTGCAGTTAATGAATATTAGCAGGTACATATTCGACACAGTTATTTAACACCTTCAATGTGCTAGGCACGGGGTACTGAAAGGTATGCAAAAAATAGAGTAATATCTGGTCTTTATCCTTGACAGGCTGAAAAAATCCAATGACAGAAGTAGCTATTAATTGTGTGGTTGTGTTGTAGTTATGTGTGTTGGCTCATGCTTGTAATCCTAATACTCGGGAGGCTGAGGCAGGAGGATGTCTGTAAGTACAAGGACAGCCTAGGATGCACTATGTAGCCTAGCCTACACAGTTCCAGGCCAGGAAGACACTATCATACAAAACAAACAGGGCTGACAAGAAGACTCAGCAGGTAAAGGCGCCTGCCTCCAATCTGATGACCTGATGACCCTAACTCCATCCCCAGGTCCCACGTAGTACAAGAAAACCAACTCCTGCAAGTTGTCCTGATTTCCTCGTTTGCACAGTGCCATGCCTCCCCAAATAAATAATAAATAAACATGCAATCTAAAGAACTAAACAAAGCCCCCCCCCAAATATGTAATGGAGTTATCATCTCACATCATTAAGGCTTCAGTGCATTTTGAGGGCAAAGAGCAAGTTGTATCTGTTCATTGTGGTGACTGAACAAAGGCTCCCTCTCTCCTTCGTCAGAGCTATCTGTTCCAGCTACTCCAGGGCCTAGCATTCTGCCATTCGCACCGGGTCCTGCACCGAGACCTTAAGCCACAGAATCTCCTTATCAATGCAGAGGGCTCCATCAAGTTGGCAGACTTTGGACTAGCAAGAGCCTTTGGAGTCCCTGTTCGTACGTATACTCACGAGGTGAGTCCCCCTATGATTTTCTTCTCTGAGAATCTTAGGGAGAGGGTTGGAGAGATGGCTCAGCCATTAAAGGCTAGGCTCACAACCGAAACTTTAAGAATCTTAGGGAGATGTTCATAACAGCACTCGCAAATGACCAAAATACCAGGGCAGGAGGTCCTTGGTAAAATGGAGTCTCTGACAACCCAAGGGTCTTTTACCTATTTATTTAAAGTGTATGAGTGTTTTTCTTGCACGTATGTCTGTACTGCATGCCTTCCTGGTGCTCACGGAGGTCAGAAGAAGGTGTCTGATCCCCTGGAAATGTACTTACAGACAGTTGTGAGCTGCCATGTGGGTGCTGGGAATTGAACTTGGGTCCTCTGCAAAAGCAACAAGCATGCACTCCTAACTTCTGACCCTCTCTCTAGCCCTTAACCAAAGGGTCTTAGGACATGTACCGAATTCATTCTATGAAGCTGCCTGGACTTAGATACCAAGCCAGGAAGGTTGGTTGGCACAGCATTTAAGTGTAGGGGTTTTGGAGTACATGACTGGGGAGAGATGACTCAGCAGTGAAGAGCATATGATTCTCCTGCAGGTGAACTGTGTTCAGTTCCCAGAGCCCGTGTTAGGCAATTCACCGTCACCCTTAACTCCAGCTCCAAGGGATCAAACACTTTCTCCTGGCCTCTGAGGGCACGGCACAGTTGTGGGAGCCTACACAGGCAATGCCTGTTTGCACATTATTAAAGTAAAAAAAAATAATAATAATAACAGTAAAGTCCCTTTTAAAAAGAGAGGCTGGAAGGTAGCAGGGTTTTGTTGAACTAAGGTATGTGACGTTGTCCTCTTGCTTCCCAGGTAGTGACCCTGTGGTACCGAGCACCTGAAATCCTTCTAGGCTGCAAGTACTACTCTACAGCTGTGGATATCTGGAGCCTGGGCTGCATCTTTGCTGAAATGGTATGGAGTCTTGCCAGGTTCTATCCAGCCCACTCTTGCCCACATCCAAGAGCAAAACGCATTTCTTGGCCTGCAACCGTGGTCCTTTATCACAGAGTTCTCTCAGATATCACCACTGTAGAGGAAGCTGCCCTGATACCAACTACTACAGTTTTAGAATACACCCTAAATGGATGTAGCTACCTGCTGGTGTATTATCTCTCATCCCCCAAAACGAGCTGAATCCACTTTTTCTGCTTTTGTTGTTTTGTTTTGGGGTAGTCTCACTGTGTAGCCCATGCTGGCTTTATCTTCTGCTCCAGCTCCCGCCGTTAGCATCCAGCCCCATGGGACTGGGTTGACAGGCGTGAGGCGCCATACTGGCTCCGCTCTTTCAGCTGTTTCAGCTTTAACCCTCAGATATTTGGAAGAAGGAATCCCATTCAGTACAACAGGTGGCCCACAGGCCACGCGCTTCCAAGGATAGCTACAAACGTGGCCTCAACACACAATCAGAAACTTACTTAAAACAGTGGGTTTTGTTTTGTTGGTGGTGGGGTATTTTTGTTTTGCTTTTCTGGTTTTGTTTTGTTGCTTTTTCTTTTTCCTTTTTTTTTTCATTTTTTTGTTCGTTTGTTTTTACATCCCGAGCGAAATTTCCCCTCCCCCCTCCTCCCACTTCTTCCTTGTGTATTTTTAAAAGCCATTTGCTTTTTCTTTCTTTTTTTTTTTTTTAACTTTTTTTTAAAATTGGTGTTTTGCGGTGGGTGTCAGGCCCCCTGGAACTAGAGTTACAGACAGTTGTGATCTGCCATTATGGGTGCTGGGAATTGAACCTGGGTCCTTTGGAAGAGTAGTCGGTGCTCTTAACCACTGAGCCATCTCTTCAGAGCCCCCCCCCCCCCCCCCCGTTTATTTTTTTCAAAATTTGGTTTCTTGGTATTTAAGCTTGAACTTTGTGGATGACAACATTATCTCAAAGTGTCGAAAGTTTGGACAGGTCTGATTTTTGTCTCCTTCATTTAACCTATAGACCTTGTTCTTGGAAACAAGGACTTTAGTAAAACTAAATGTATTCAACTGGTCCACATCTATCATTTTTGTAGACTTGGTCATGCCCTGCCCCCTCAACCTCTGGCTTTTCAGATTGAAGGATCCTTGAAGCCTAGCTTCAGTATGGGAGCTCCCATCCCATTTAATGCAACAGTGTGGATGACAGATCAGTAATTTTTTTGTTGTTGTTGTTTCTTATTGTTTTTGTTTTTTGTCTTTTATCTGGGTTGAAACTGGGCTTGGAGACCATTATCCTATATATAGATATACATATAGAATGTTAATTTGTCCACCAGTACCTTACAATTGCCCATATTCCTCTCTCAATTCATCACCAAATATTTGTTAAGCACCTAGTGTGTACCCAGCACCATGCTAAGTGCTGTGAGGGACACAGAAGAAATGGAAGACACAGTCTCTGCCCGCTGTGCTCCTATCTAGAAGTGGCTGCGTCACAAGGAGGGGGGATGACCGCAGTGTCTACCCCATACCCCGTGAGTGGCTTGGGATCCCTTTGCTACGTGTCAGTGGCACCCCAGACATTCACCCCCTCCCAGCCCCACCCAGCCTTGGGGATCGACAAAGCCATGGTTGGGGGAAGGAAGGAGGGGGCGAGGACACAGATGAAGGGACTTCATTGTCTCAAGTTCTGTATGACCGACCCCATGAGAAGCCCCGGGGAGGGGAGTCATGGGGCCCTGCTAACCTTCCACTGCCTATGGGAACCTCCTCCGTACAAGGGGCAGTGTTGACTGACGTCAATGTGGGTCTTGGCCTTTCCTCTCTCCCCATTTTCAGGTGACCCGGCGGGCCCTGTTTCCCGGAGATTCTGAAATTGATCAACTCTTCCGGATCTTTCGGACTCTGGGGACTCCAGATGAGGTGGTTTGGCCAGGAGTTACTTCTATGCCTGATTATAAACCGAGTTTCCCCAAGTGGGCTCGGCAAGATTTTAGCAAAGTTGTGCCTCCGCTGGATGAAGATGGACGGAGCCTGTTATCGGTAAGAGCCGGGAGTGGGTGCCATTCCTCAGAGAAGAGAAGCCGAGCCCCGGAACTCCGTTAGGATTACCTGAGTCCTCCCTCCGTTCCTCTCCTCATCAGGAGGCTGGTTCAGGTGTGGGAGGAGGGAAGTGAGAACTGGGTACTGAGTCCTGAGTACACCTGCTCTCCCTTGGGTACACTGTTGGATCACTGAGGTCAGAAAATATTTCTCCCTCCAGCAAATGCTGCACTATGACCCCAACAAGCGGATTTCAGCCAAAGCGGCCCTGGCCCACCCTTTCTTCCAGGATGTGACTAAGCCAGTACCCCACCTGCGGTTGTGATACCCTTCCCAAAGCCCTCTTCACCCTTGGTCTGGCTGGACTCTGGGCCTTTTGGACACAGGTCAGCCTCCTGCTCCTTTCTGGCTGTCTTAGCACTCACTTTTTCTCTTGGCCAGCCGGTCCCTGGGATTCAGAGGTACAGGGAAAGATGAGGCGACAGGAAAAAAGTTTTGGTATCAGATGCACTTAACCCAGCGCCCACTACCTTCTCTCCTCTTAGTCATTACTGAGGATTGGTATTCAAAACAAAACAAAACAAAACTGACCATTCCCCACCCACCCCCATGCCAAGTTTTGCTTTCCCAGGCTTAGACTGTCTCATAATTATTATGTCCCATGTTTAGGAAGACACACCCCAGACCTCCTGGTGCCACTGTTTTGTAAAGGCTAACTGATAAATTGGGACATTTTGGAACCAAGCAAGAGAGGTCTGTTTTAATGAATTAGATTAAAAAACAGTTTATACCTTAGTTGTAGCGCGTGGCCTCACCTGGCAATCAAGGAGGCCCAGCTGGAGAAGCAGAAGAAATGTTTTCCCTTCGGTGCTCTGTCTACCTTCTGCAGGGCAAGAAGAATCAGGAGGGGGTGGGAATTGGTCTGTTCGCCATGGTTCACAAGGCAAGGTGTGAGACACTGGAATCTTTCTTTTAGAAATTTTATTGTTTTCTGGTGCTAGCGACTGAACCCAGGACCTTGCCCTCACTAAGCAAGTGCACCACCCTCGAGCCAGATTTTCTAGCCTTCTTTTGGAGTTTCAGCTCTTCAGTTTGTCAGAGGTCCCTGTTGCCATCTTCTTCTGAGAGTTAGTCACCCCTTACTCCATAGTGGAAGTGAGGCTTCAGATGTCACTTTGAAAGGCTTGGACCTAGTCAGGTCATCAGGGGACATTTTCTATAAAAGAGTTAACAATTATATTTATATTTCAAGTTACAGTAGTTTGGATATTTTAGTGTTTTGATTTTTCTTTTTTGGGGGGGCAGGGCAGTGTGGGTGGATTTGTTACCATGTGCACTTTGGAATTTTGTAATGCAATTGTTGAAAGAAAATGTTTCTTTTATGATCTTCTCCCTCTACCCCTTGTCCTCCAGTGTTCTGCTAATATTATTTGTAATTTAGTTTGTAATTCATTAAAAGAAAATATTCTCAGTTGTATAGTGAATCTCTTATATTTTGTCATTTATTTATTTACCGCAATAACAGTGTGGGTGACAACCTGAATGTGATAAGGGGTAAGTGATTTCAGAGTCCTGTATGTGCAAGACACCCTCCCGCGCCTTTGCAGTGGGATGGTTGTGAGCGTGAGCAAATTGGCTATCGTCTCACTTTGGTAGGGAAACTGAAGCTTTTCTACTTTTCCCTACCGACCAGCTAACCTCTCCTTTTCCTGCTCACATGTGCGCACAAATAGAGTGCTGTCTCAGGTTTTCTGTTACCAGAGGCTTGACTGAGTGGGTTTCAGGAGTCACCTCAACACCCCATTTCCCAGTTAGCTTTTACCATGTGTGTAGGGTTGTTGGTTTGTTTGGGTCTTAAATTACGTACATAAGCGTGGGTCTCTGAATTTGTCTAGTGTCCGCAGAGGCCAGGAGAGGGCACTGGATCTCCTACAGCTAGTTGCAGGCAGTTGTGAGCCCTGTGGTGTGGGGTACTGGGAACACACCTTGGGTTTTCTGAGCCGCTAAGCCATCTCTCTAGCCTAGCCTGCCTGAGGCCCTCGTTTCAATCCTCAGTACCCCTCCCCCCAAAAAAAATCCTCAGTAAAGTTGTATAAAGATTTCATTCACATTTACACACAATTCAGAAAATACCAATTACATGAGAATGTAGGAGGTCTAAAGTGTCTTCAGACTACCACTTTTTGTTGTTTTCATGGTTTTACACCATCAAAAAATAGGCAGCCCATCCCCAAACCCCTGTTCAGTTATGTTCCACTAAAAAGAATTTAAGTTCCCAGGTAGATGTCTTTAATTTGACATGGAAGGCGGGGCACTAGGGTAAGCCCCGCCCAAATCCGGCCCAGGGTAGAAGACAAAGTTAACACCGGTCTCTTTCTTGTTTTTGTTTGCGTGTTTTTTGTTTTTTACACTGTGTCTCACGATGTCGCTCTGAAGGCCAGGCTGGTCCGGAACTCCCGCAGACTGCTAGGATTAAAGGCGTGGGCCACCAAGCGCAGGGTGGTTGTTGGCTTTTTTTCACCCGCCTCTTAAACTGAGACCTTGCCTCGAGCAGCCCAGGCTAGCCTTAAACTCACAAGCGCGGTGCTGGATTAGGGTGGGATGCGACACCACGCCCGGCCCCCGGCCGAAAGCCTTTCTAGGGCCGCTTTCGCGCTCGCCTTGCCTGCCACTCAAGTTCGGAAGTGTCCTAGCACTGGTTAAGATTTCCCTTTGTCCCGCCTCCTTCACTCACCTGATTAGATGTTTACGAGTCAAAAGGCGGGGGAGGGGTGTCACGGGTGTCGGGGTTTTATTGGCTGGTGCAGATGCCTGTCAGTGCTGCCCCACCCCCTGTCAGGATCTCTCCCTTTAATGGTTGTCCACTCCGTCCATCGGCAAGGCTTCTCGTTTCGGTATTGGCTCGCGGCCTCGCCAGTCGAGTCTCTGCCTGTACTGATTGGTGGCGACCCCCAGAAAGCCCGCCTTCCTCCCGAAGATTGGCGGGTGGGCGCACATATCGCCCACCTTCCCCAGTAGGCGGGTGATCTTGCGATTGGCTGGAGCCCGCGCCCCGGCGAGGAGGAGGAGGAGAAGGGGGCAGGAGGTTTGGTTGAGCCGCAGCTGTTTGTCTGTTCCACACAGGCTTGGGCCCGACGGGGGAGACGGAGCCCCAGGTACCGAGCTGATGGAGCCCGCAAGGGCAGAGGCGGAGGTCCACAGAGGAGCGCAGCCTGGCCTGCGGCCGAGGCGGCTCCGGCCTAAGCCAGGGCTAGGCAGCCCCCCCCCCCCCGGAGAGGGCAGAAGGGGCCGCCCCGGCAGGCCTAGTGGGGGCGCTGAGGAGGTGATCGGCAGGGCTGGGAGCCGAGCCTCCAGTCGGGGAGGCGGCCGGGTTCCGGCTGCGACCGCTCAGGGGCCGGGCGCGGGCACCCGGAGCCGGTGAGGACCAGGGCCGGCCTTGGTCCTCCGATCACCGCGGGGAGGAGGAGGGAGGAGCTGGGGCTGGGGACCAGGCAGCCAGGGAGGGCAAGCCCGTTCGGCAGGAGGCGTGGAAGGGGTCAGCGCTACGCCCAGCCCCGAGGGTGGTAGCCGAGGCTGGGTCTCTAGAGACGTCCAGTGTCGGGGGTGCTGAGCCGCCGGGCCGTCAGGCATTCTGTTCAGCGAAAGTGGCTGTTGGGAAAGGGACTGAGAGGGATTTGGTCTCAGTAGACGACGAAATGCATTGCTGAGCCAGAACATCAAAGTAGACGGAAGTAGAATAGAAGCAGGGCCTGCCTGGTATCAGTTATGGGAACTTCTGGAATGATGGTGACAAGAGAGGCTCTGTACCTTGCAGCTCCTTACGCTTTTGTTCCATTAGCGTTTAGATGTGGTGGTTTGATGAAGTCTTGGGGGGCGCTTCTGGAGTAGGAATGAAGACAAAGGTAAAATCATGTTTTCCGAGGCTCCTGGTAGCTTCCAGATTCGCCCCCCTTCCCCCCCCCCCAACTTCCATTTGCCCTGGCCTCAAAGCTGTTCTTGACTCCAGTCTGCTTTCTTTCTTGTTTGTTTGTTAGGTTGTTTTTTGTGGGGGTTTTCCTCCTGTTGTCTGAACTGTGAAAGAACTAAGGATTTGGGGGTTGCCTTGCCAGTCTTTCCCACTTTAATAATGTGGTCAGTCTGTGGTGACTACTCTTAACCTTTACCTAGAATTGCACACTCTGTCATCTGTAAGGAAAGGGCTTTAGGATCCCCAGCCACTAAAAAAAAAAAAAAATGGACCATGTCTGTTGAAACTTCTTTGAAGTTTCTGTGAAATGCTTGGGCATTTCCTAGACAGTTAATAATGGAGGTCTCAGGTCTGGAACTGTGAGGTGATATTCCTAAGGGGATCTGGGGAAGAGTTGAGAAGTCCCCTCCCAGAAAGTTGGCACAGTCCCTTTTGTCCACTTTTTCAGGAGGCACTTTTGTGTGATTAGCTAGTTAGGTCAAACCCCGAGAAATTTAGGAAAGAAGGATTATTATAGAAAATGAAGACACCTTTAAAACTTATTACATTTATGTGTGTGTGTATGTATATGTGCCTGTGCACCTGTACACCTATGTGAGCCACAGTGCATGTGTGGAGGTCAGAGGACAACTTGTGGGTGTTCAGTTCTCAGACAAATGGCAGACAAATGGGAGTCCCCTCCTCCCATGTGCATATAGGGGATGTTACTACCCTGTAATTTTTCTATATATCATCAGACCCTATTGGTTTCTCTGTTAGGCTCCTACCTCCTCTTTTCTTTCTATAGTAATGCTACTTATCGCTGCATTTCATACATATGTATGTATGTGTATATACATATATACATACATATAATACATTTAATTTTATGTGTGTGTGCCTGAGTGTATGTATGTGCACCATATTTGTGCAGGAGCCCTCAGAATTCAGAAAAGGTATCGGATCCCCTTTAACTGGAGTTACTGCCATAGGAGTGCTGGTAACCGAGAACACAGGTCTTCTGCAAATGCACTTAACGCCTGAGCTATCTCTCTAGCTTTTACCTTAATTACCAAAGTAATGCATACATTTAAAAATGTGTGTGTGTATGTGTGTATATATATATATATGTAAAATATAAACATTTTAAAACGAATAGCCAAGCTGGGCAGTGGTGGCGCACGCCTTTGATTCTAGCACTCACGAGGCAGAGGCAGGTAGAACTCTGTGAGTTTAAGGCCAGCCTGGTCTACAAAGCTACATAGATAAACCCTGTCTCGAAAAAACAAAACAAAACAAAAAATGTTTAAGCTATACATAGATACATACAATCTGAGTCTTTCCACATATAACTATTTCATTTAGGACAGAGATATTAAATAAGACTAACCTTTCTTTTGAGGAATGTGCCACCAAAGACAGTTTTTCTGAGTTGTTTTTCATGTTCTAATTGAATTCTGTTTTCTCATTCTTTGCGCAGTATTCTCCTCTTGGATGATACTCTGTTATTTATTGTGTTTCTTTTGGAGTTCATCTTGTCTTCTATCAGAACAAGCATAGAGTTGTTCTCCCAAGTTATCATTTGCCTTCTTCAGTACACACACAATTGTGTACTGGGTAGCCTAAAAACTTCCCAAATACACGAACAAAACTTTTTCTGTACAGGAAAGAAACATTAAGTGAAATCATCTTATTTGGGACAGTTATTGGCATTTCTACTAGAGTGAAGAATCTGAAACCCTCAAGTTTTCCCAGTATTTGACTGTTCCTTCCTTATCTCAAGAGAGATAGTGATGGTTTTGGAAGAGGGTCTTGTACCTGGCTTGGTACCTAGTGAATTTTAAATTGGATTTCCTCCAAATTTAGAAGTATCAGAGACTTTTCATGCTACCAACTTATTAATTCAAGTTGACTTTTTGAAGCCCTCTAATATGCTAATTGTACAGTGTCCAGCAAAAGCTTCAGCTCAACACCTCCTGGCAACTTTCCTCACCTACACAGCCAATCCTGGAGAAAACTATTGGGTTGTATGTACGTGGGTTCATCCTCTCTAGTCTTTGCTGTCTTTAAACCCTGATCACCTCCTGTCCAATTATGTGTGTCCCTTTATGGGTTTGTTTGTACCTTCCTACCTTCCCTTAAAAACTTCTTTCAGGAAAGGATTTGGAAGCTGGGTATGGTATTTGCCTTTGATTCCAGGGTCCTGAGTTCAAGGTCAGGCCAAGCTACATAGTAGGCACTGTCCCAAGCACTGTCACTACTGTGGAAAAGATTTTTTTTTTAAAATCTGGGTTCTAGGATTATAGCCTAGTGGTAGATTATATGATTAGCATTTACCAGATCACAGGTACAGAGAGAATGAGAATAAAGGTGGTATCAGGAGTCACCCAAATTTAAGATGTAAATAATTCACAGTGGCTTAAAGTAATTATTTTCCAGAGGTTTCTGCATATGTAGGGAGCTAAAGAGTGGACTGAGCAATATAAAATCCCAAACATAGACCTCGAATTAGAGCAGTATGTTTGGAGAAGAGCGTTC